ATTAATTCTTACCTGTATGTGATTCGTTAGTAATTTTAATGGAATTTTCTAAAATTCCTTGTGGTATAACATGTGTACTAAAATCTGCACTTGGTTCGGCTGACATAAAAAGTCGAAAATTTTCCTGTCCAGTTTCTAATATTCGTTCTAATTTTCTTTCTAATATTGGCAACCAATGTCGTACTAAATGAATATTTTGTAAGACAATCCAATGACCTTCTTTCGCTGATATTTCTAATGCATTTTCAGCTACTATTTCTTGACCTTGTCCCAATGAAATATTATAAAATTTTCCTGCTTGTGATGTATAACCTAATTTTTTGCCTAATGTTTCAACTTCTTTTAATGGATCAACACCAGGTGAAAGAATAAAAAACATTGGTATTGATTTCGATGATTCTTCATAAGTACGAGCAAAATCTGGTGTACGACTTTCAATATATTTTTTACCAAGTTTTTCAGCAATAAATAATCTTTTCAAAACAGAAAAGCCATATTTAGAAAATACTATAATGAGTGAATGATTTCAATATACTTTAATGCATAAAGCATTCGATCAGGTCGAACAGCACGAAGAATACATAAATGTTGCATTGTTGATTTACTTTTCCATTCTCCCTGAAAAGAAAATTTAGAAATATGAAATAAAAAATAAAATTTATTCATTTTATTTACTGGAGGTTTTTCTAATTCAGGTGCTTCACTTTCAACATATTTTTTCCATCGTTTACTCGATGTTTCAATATCACGATCAAGTCCATGAAAAATCTGTAGTAATGATAAAGCTTTTATACTGCCCCAAGCTTTTTCATTAAGAAATTCCACAGGACTTCCGGCATGTGCTTCTTGAGGATTTCGTAATAATAAATCAAGTTCAACCATGTCGATTTCACCCTTTTCTGTTAAGATCTATTTCAATAAACGAATAAATAAATAAATAAATATTTCTATCAGGCAGATTTAGACATGCACTCTGATCAATGTTCTGGACGAACGGTTTAAGTTCGACTGTAGAGTTCGGACTCGAGTGTATTTAAACATTGTTGACTTTTTTCATATTTTTGCAGACGTTCAGTTTTAGGGTGGTTTATTCTACTGTATGTAGATTAACTATAGAAAATTTTGGAATTCTTTCTTTTGAATTGCTTACGCTTCCTTTTATTAATTGACTAAAAATGATTGTAGTCAAAACTGAATCCGACTTGTTCAGGTTCAGTGTATTCCTAATTAAATTATTCTTATTAACCTGTAATAATAATTGTATAGTAAAAATAAGTTTATGTTCTTCAAAAAGACCTCGAACAATATATGAATATGAAGCAAATGTAATAGCATCAATAAGATTATCTATTCGAATACGTAAATCTTCACTTTGTTCAGCATAATCAATAGCTTTAAGAAAAACTGATCGAAATGCTTTCAAAGAAAATTGATACATCGGATGAATTTTAGATAAATCATTGATAATAAAATAAATAATACATGCACGAATAGCTGTTGGTCGATATAATTCTCTTGTTCGATCAATTTGTTGACTAAATTTTTCAGCTTCGATTTTTTTTTGTTCAATTTCTAATGATGTATTAACAGTACGTTCAAGTGTAACAACAAGTTCAACATTTTGTATAAAATTTCCTTCAGCTGTTGCTAAACGTGCTAATAATGAATCTTCTAATTTTTTTAAATTTATTTTATATTCATTTTGTTGTTTTGTTACTTCAAATTTACTCTTTTCTAAATCAGGTCTTTCAACAGCAACAATTTCAGCTAATAATTGTGCTTCAAGACCATCTCGTGTTGTACTAAAATTAATTAATGTTGTTTGTGCTTGAATTTCAGGTCGAAAATGTGGATTAGCTAAACGTGTTTGCATTATTAAACGAAAATTAGGATGATAATCAATTTCTTTATCTCCAAATTTAACTATTTTTCCTTTACGAATTAAATTTCGATTAATAATTGGTTCCAATATAGAATCAATATTTTCTTCAACACATTCAAGTAAAAGAGTATCACCTCGACGAACAGCTGCTTCAACACGATCAAGATAACCTTTACTATTATAACGAAGTGTAACTAATTTATCAGTAAAAAGATTTTTAATCCAACGAAGTCCTTGTCCTTGAGGATCGACCATTAACGGCCATCGTAAACAATAAATAAGAATAGCAGCATTTTCATATGATGTTTGATCAGCTGGAAGACCTTGATTCATCCTATATGAAACAAAACACAATTCTATTCAAGCAATAACAATTACTATAGATTACCATTCTGCAATGTCAGCATCATCGATCATTATTGATAATGGTTGAAGATCAACTCGCATTGGTATGACACCCTATAGGAATAATAAGAAATAAAATCCAGTAATAAAATCATTTTATTTTAATGTGTTTAACAGGAAAATAGTTCAATGTGTTTCAGATGGTTAGTTATTCTAGGTCATGTAAGAAGGTGAAGAAGAATATCTTGACTGCTTGGCTATCTTATAATATCGGATGCTGCATAGCAGTAGATTTAGTAGCCCGGTATCTCTCCTACAACTAGTATTACTTGTAACTCTAGACAGAAAGTCAGTCTAACACAAAGTTGTGGCGCGGAATAGTTTGGACTCTCTAACCATAAGAGCAATGGTATGTCACAACTTACTAGGGAACCTTCCAAGGTGCGGGAGCGCGTTTCAATCGGGGTTTCGTGCATCTTGTAGCTCGTAGTGAGTTATGCTTACGGAAAAAAAAAGTTTGGGTTTCTGGCTTGTTTCTGAGGAGATATCGAGCTCTTAGTGAATTTTCTCTATTGTACGCCTACATTGACAGCAAAGCTATACTTTCGAATTTTGACCTGAAGCTTTGCCTGCATAAAGGCCTCAGCTAGACTAGTTTGCATAAAAAATTTCAGAAGTTTTGAATAAAGTCTCTCTAAGATATGAAACTATCAAGGTATAGTCCCTTTTTCATCAATAATATATATAGTATGCATTTTTTTCAAAGCTTCATATCTTAGAGAGAATTTATTCAAAACTTCTGAAATCTTTTATGCAAACTAGTCTAGCTAAGGCCTTTATGCAGGCAAAGTTTCAGGTCAAAATTCGAAAGTATAGCTTTGCTGTCAATGTAGGCGTACAATAGAGAAAATTCACTAAGAGCTCGATATCTCCTCAGAAACAAGCCAGAAACCCGAACTTGTTTTACTATAGACATAGCTTACTATGGGCTACAAGATGCGCGAAACCCCGACTGAAAAGCGCTCCGACACCTGGGAAGGTTCCCTTGCTAGTCCATTAGTATTTTCACCTAGGAAGACAATTAAGTTAGACATCCCAGAGCTATAAATAGTATACAACATTGCACAATCTTGGAGAAAAGTAAATTGGAGATCTGTAATTCTAGACAAAAAACATATAATAAAATCTTTCATGCAAGTCGATCTATTTTGTTTCGCTTTTTTCATTATAATCTACATCACATATCTTTCGTCTTGTTCTATTGAACATCTACCGGAATGTTTTCTTTTGAAATGAATTATAGCAAAGACATGACTAATCTTGATTGCAGCTCGTCAATATTTGTTCGGTTCGAATCATATGTGTGTGAAATCTCTTCTTACAGTCAAATACAAAAGCAAACTGTACAAATCATTGATGACATACTTTAGTAGTTGCAATAGCTGATCTCCATTTATTAACAAAATTAATTCGATAACTTCTTGAAAAATATCCAGTATATGAAATAAATGTTGATGCTAATAAAACATCACCTAATAAAGTTTCTAAATCATTTTTAAATGTTTCAACACGTTTTGTCCATATAATTCGACTTGAAGCAAGACCATCAACAAGACGTTCAGCTAAATCAATTTGACGTGCTAATCGTTCTTTTGTTCTAACAGCATCATCTTTTTCAGCAAGAGCTCGTTGCATTTTAAGATTTTCTTCAGTTAGACAATCTTCAAGTATTTGTACACGTGCAAGAATTTTTGAAAAAGCTTGTTGTGCTCGACTTAATTCTTCATTAGCAACATCTAAGGCTATTTGTTTTGGTTGGACTTCCAAATAAACAGTATGAAATTTAAGAGTATCTAATAAATATAAAATATTTATGCATATAATTGAATCGAAAAAAAAGAATTGCAATTAACTATCAAGCCATGTATAAATGCCACCAGCTGCAGCTGATTTAACTGTAATTTGTTGAATTAAACTTTCGATACTATCTGTTTTACTTATTTTCATTAATGTTACATTAAGTTTATCAATGATAGCTCTCACTTGAGGAGTAACCTAAAAATAAAAGGATTGTTTTTTTTTCTTCTATTAAAACCATATCATGATATGTTAACAACAAAAGAGTTTATAATTATTGTAGAGTAGTCAATAATTTTAAGTTTGTAAGAAATAAAAGCGTTTCTTGTAACATTTATTATTGAATAAATGAAAAAAAGATGAAATCTTCGAGTGATCTATCGGAAAACAATCTCAAATCATCATTTAGTAATGTATAAAATTTATTTTGTTTTTTTGAAAGATTTTCTAAGGATTTAGACAATTGAAATAGTTAGTTAACTAGATGAGTTGTAAAACTGTCTATGTTCATTTGAATATGTTTGATAAATGAAATAGAAAAACAATATATTCATTTTTCTTTTCAAAACGAAATCTAATTTTTTTTTTGTTAGTAATTTTATTTAATATTTAGAGAGAAATGGTACAGAGTTTATTTCCGTATCAATAAAAAATATATTCTGTATGGCATTAGGCGTGCAACGAATTCAAACTTCCGCCCGATGGATGAGCTCGCGAACTATCCAACCAACTCTGACGCTGTTGAGAATTCAGTTGATTGTCTAAGCGTTTCGTGAGCTACATGAACCATTGATGGAAGTGCCCTAAAATTTAGTCAAGTTCAATTTTGAATACTTCTGAACATCATTGATATCTTAAGGATAGTCTGTAGCCATTGTCACATTTTGAATCATGCATTTCATTTACGACGATTCATATTCGCTGCTAACACACTCTACATTTCTTAGACAACCTTGACAGTGATCTTATAAGAATGAAATTTTAATTAGCTCTAACTTTTAGAGCAGCGCTTGTCAGAACTGGCTCTAATGTAGCTCTACCTTACTCAATCTTTGAAAAATTTCTGTTGGCTTAATTGTGCTTTTTTTTGAAACACAATATAAAAGACATAATACATGAACTATTTTCCTATTGCATTTTTGGAGAACTAAGCGAAATGATGGTGAATAAATATGTCCCAAACTAGATATAGTAAAACAATCTATCAGTGTTTAACAACAGCAACCACATCATTTTTATACTTTAATCTCGCCGAAACTGTACTGACACGTTTTTATTTAGTAACTGAAAACAACTGCAAACAAAACAAAACTCGAAGTCGATTCGAACTCGCTGAACCTAAAGAATCTGGTTGATCACATGCTTATATGCGCTGAATAGTTCTCTATGAAATAATTATTCGTTTAATTTTGTTCCACAAGGATTTATCGTTATGCAAATAAACTAAACGACATTGATGTCATTACTTTAGCAACTTGAAAATTTCTGAGACGTTGTAAAAATTTCTCTACTGGTCCAATTGTATTTTTTGCTTCTGTCCATGTACGTTGACTTTCAGGAATAATTCGATTTTCATCAACCCATTTAAAAAGTACAACTAAAATATAAATATTTTTATAAGTATATCTAGAGTTATTCATTTTCTTTTTAACTTACCAACCATATTCATTACAAATTTAACAGTTTCTGGGGGTGATGCAAAAGATTTCAATTCAGTTAATTGTCCTTTTTCAATATTCTCAAGTGCTAATCTTGCTGCTTCGAGTACAGGTTCAGCTTTAGCTCTGTATTTATTCAAAAAATCATAATAATAAATCTTCATTTTAATATTTCAATCAAACATACAATTCCATTGCACATGCAGCTTGTACTTTTTCAACAGCTGCTTTTTTTGTTTCAATTTTTCGACGTTCCTCATCAGCAAATGACTAAATTTAATTAATATAGAAAAAAAAGAAATTTTTATTTTCGGAATTCAGCTTAAATCAAACTTTTTCTTTTGCAACTTTATCAGCTTCAGCTGTAACTATTTTCAATGCAATTTCTGCTTTTTCTGCTTTTGTATTCACTTCATCTGTTGTAATTTTTAAATCTTCTTGTAAAATAGCAGTTTGTGCAGATATTGAATCAAGTTTTTCTAATCCAGATAAAATTCGAACAATTTCAAGTTCAATTTTCATTTGTTTATTTTCATAAATATGCTGAAAAAATTTTATATATTCAAGAAATGTTTTCGATGTTGTATAATAAGATCGTCTTTCATTTGTAAAATATTGTATTGATGTTTGATTTACATCCATATGTATATCAGCCATAAAATTAGCTATAGCATGACGTATTTCATTAGATAATAATTTATTATCATCAAGAAAACGAACAACAACTGAATAAAGTGCATCTCTTGGCCATGAATGAAACCAATCAATAATTGTTCCACTAAATAATGCTGGAAAACGACGTGCACGTGTACGTAATGTATTTCCAACAGGTGAAAAACACATCACTATCTTAAGATTTCGTCGTACTTTATCAATAAAATATTTCCATATATTTTCTTTTGATTCACTATAACCTTGTGATTTAGCTTCAGATCGTAGAGAATTAAGAATTTCTTCAATTTCATCATCAGTAAATAAACCAAATATTTCACCTGATGATAAATAATCATTTATATAAACAAGAAAATTTTCATCTGTTATTTGTGCATCGGATAATAGAAATACACATGGAAGACCTTTTAAAGCAGCACGACGATAGAGATTATTTAGATCAGCTTTTAAATCATTTATTCCATAATTTGGTTTAATTGTTATTTGAAAAACATCAAATGATGATACAAAAGCTGCTAAACGAGCCAAAGATTGTTTTCCACTACCACCGACACCAATTAACAATGCATTGCCTAATAAAAAATAGATTTATTGTTAAATGTACAGCATCTACTCGTGTAGTATCCATAAGCATAAGAGCGAAATTTTAGAAGAATCTTATTGACGACAGAAAAAATTTTTAATTTTAATACATACCAGCAGAATGTTAGCAACAAGATATGTTGAAGTCGCCCTACTCTTGACAGTTTTTACCATGATTTGAGACAACTAGTATTATTTTACAAAAAAACTGAGCAATACCAAACATGAAAACTTTTATACTGTTTCAATTATGGTAAAGCATTTTTGGAATAAAAAAAATTATCAAGCCAATCAAAGAAGATCACTACAACTAATACTAGTTGCAGCTCTGAACCGAAAGCTAAAGGAGCTGACCCAGAGTTCTTGCGCTGTATTACTTGAGCTCTGCATACACATTAACTAGTCATAGAAGGTCATTTCATAGTTGATAATATCAAGGTTTTAACATAATATCTTGTATATATGTGTTACGGTCAAAATTGGAATCTGGTGAAATTCTAAATTTGTCCGGACAAAATTGGAATTCTAATTTTGACTGGACAAAATTAGAATATTATTTTGATGAATTATAAAACTAAGCAAAAATCAATATCTAAAACATGAATGAGGTCAAGCATGGTGATGAGAGTCAGGAAGAGGGTTTTAAGTAAGATCGCCGCGGGTACCCTTGATGAGAGTGAAAAATGTCTTAGTAAGGATGAATCTTTGAGTAAAACTAACATTTTACTCGATTATTCACTCTAATTTCACTCGCAACCTCGGGATATAGACTCAGACCTCTTCACTCTTACTCAGACTTGTCTCTCGGCCTTCACCATCATTTTTGATTCCACTCATATTCGTAGTATTGGTTTTTTTCTCAGTTTTACAGTTCATGAAAATAAAATTCTGATTTTGTCTGGTCAAAATTAGAATTCCAATTTGGTCTGGACAAATTTAGAATTTGACCAAATTCCAATTTTGACCGTAACATATGTGTCGAACAACGTAGGTACTCAACCATGACAACTGTCCAAAACTATCGAAATTAGTTGATGATTGATGAAAGTCATTTATTTATAGTACAATGTTATTATCAGTGAATAGCAGTCTTGTTTCTTTCTTTGTTTTTTTTTTAAATACAGATCTGTCTTCAAAAGAACAACGCTTATTTTTGTTTTTGACAGTAGAGAATCTGTAGATAATATGTCATCAACACTACAAGTCGACAAGTTTAGATCTGAGAAACAATTGAAAATATTCTCTAATCTGAATAAATCTGTTCAAACTGATCTTTCACTCATTTGATCTAAATTTTGAACTGATAATTAGTCCACCTTGAATTAAGATCAATGAGTGAAGTAAATGTATGCTACCGAACGATTTATTCTCTTGGAAGAAGTTTAATAATTTTTTCAATTATCTCATACCACGTGGTGATTCAAGTATACGATTAATACGTGCAATATGAATAAGAGCATCTTCAAATAATACTAAATTCATCGAAGGATTTGTTTCATTATATGATGCTAATGCATCTTCAATCACATGTTGTAATTTATCCATTGATGATACAGCTGTATATTGTCCATCACTAATTCCACCAGAAAAATGTGAATAAATAAGTGGTCGAATAAATGTTTCATCATTGACAAACTAATAAAAAAAAAATTATTATTGAAATAAATAAAAATAAATAAGTATGTTACTTCAAAACTTTTTCGTATAGTTTCACGTAAAATTTTATTAAATAATTCAATATCATCTTGATTAATAAGTTTATCTGAATAAGTTCTTTCAGCTTCATGTATATATAAACGTATGACATCTTGTGGAGTTAAAATATTTTTTGATGAAGCTAATAACATGCCCTAAAATAACATTCATTAATTATTTATTAATCTATGTTTTATTAAAAGAAAAAAAAAATAGTTTAGAATAGTTGCTCGCTAAATCAGTTGAAAGACGGGCACCTGATCTGTATATGTGAACAAATCATGTAAATCACCGTTAAAAAATCACATCGACCTCATTCTCGAAAAAACGAACACAATTTGCAATTAAGTGAATGAAAAAATATTTCATAACATGCAACAAGTGATTGATAGATTTTGATTGGTTATCGCTTTTCGAAGTTAAGTTTTGATGAACGAGGGAACCGCTCCAAGTAATTTGGAACTTTTGTGTTGCTATTTTTCCCATAAGTAGGATCCTATGAGAATATGAAAGATCTAATGGAATAAGAGTCTATTTATCTTTCTTCTTGAGTTATGAGCATTTTACTTCCCTTATTACTTATAACAAGAGATTTATCGAAAACTCAAAGAACAGACTTTCGATCTTAAGATTTCCTCATATGTAGATTTCGTGGAAGCATTCGTTTCGACTATGACATTTAGAGTCACTGTAAAGGTCATAAGATACATACGTTGAAAAAAATTCAAATTGGAATACTATACTTTGAGTTTTTCTTAGATTTCTTGTTGTAAGTGATAGATTTAGTAAAATACTGATAAGTCGGCAAGACAGACCTATAGATGGATTTTTCCTAGCTTAGTAGATTCTGCTTACGGACGACATATTAGCACAAAAGCTTAGAATCACTTGCACCAGTTCTCTCGTAAGTATTTTAGTTGATTTCGCAATAATTCATACTTTCATTCGAGTCAATATATTTTCAAGGTAACATATCTAACCATTAAATGTGAATAGCTTCTACAATAATGCCTGAATAAGTTGGATTAATATTTTTGAAAGAGTGTCTACGTATGACAATGACTTTTGAGTGTTAAAAGGAAATGATCGACATGGTATTCTGGATTATAATATCGATATGAAGTAACACAACTTGTATGAAAAATTGGGGTTTTCGATTTCTTCTCAATACATTAAAGCGATCAATCTAGAATATGTACAGCTAGTTTAAACTAAACATTAAATTACAACTATGAATTTGCTAACTCAATGAAATGCTTATTTGCTGTTTTAGTTTGAATTATTTTATCCGAAATATTTTGCAAAAAAAAAATTTTGGAGCAAATATTCGTCTTTTCAAAACCAACAACGACAGTACCTGAACAATATTCGATAAATCACGTAAATTAAAGAAATAATGAAATTTAATTGCTGTAGGTAAAAATATACTTGAAACACGTTGATGAAATTGTATAACAACTGTAATAAATTGATTTAAAAAACTGGTCTGTGTTTTTAAATCAATTTTATTTATATTTGAAAATTTTGTTTCAAGCATTTTTGAATAAATTGTGTGAAGAGTATTCTAAAAATATTACAACATTTATATTATACATAAATATGTATTTCATTTAATAATAAACTTTATTTGATAAAGGAACCGCAAATGTTGCAAAATGTCGTTGAAGACGAGCATCAATAGTAAATGTGCCTGCATTTTGATTCATTGCAACAACAAATTGACAATTTCGAATTTCTTTAAGTGTAAATTTTTGTCGATCATACCAATGTTGATAATCAAGATATTCACGAACAATTGTATGAGCTTGTACAGTAAAATATTTATCACGTTCAGGCATATTGAAATCATCTATTTATTCAATTAGAAGAAATTAAAACAACAACTGCTGACACATTCTCTGTTAGATTAAAATGAGAAATACGATGAAATTGTTCGCATTGTAAAAAAAGAATGCCACAACGTAGATTTTCGTTTATGAGTTCCCATACAAGACGAAAGCATCTCATTCATCATTGTTAAATGTCATAACTAGTGTGGAATAAGGGTAAAGGAGAACTATTTTAAATTCAACTCTGTGTCGTTAGGTCTGCCAAGTTGGTTCATGACCCGGGGGACTTTACTAGTCTGAAAAATGTGTAGTAATTACACAGTAGATTTCGATCTTGAAAGTTTGTTCGTCATCGTGAATGCGAAGGAAGTGGCAATACTTAGGTATCTGTCACAGGAGTGTGTATGGAAAGAGTATTATGTGCATTTTTTGTATGGCAGGTCGATTTGTAATTTGTGTTTGCTCAAAAGTGATTGCATATTGCTCAGAAAATCACTTTAATAAAATAATGCATTTTTCAAGGAAAAAACATCTGGTGGGAGTCGTGCCCCACAAGTCATCGGATATAGTTTTGCGCTCTAATTCCGAATATACTACTTATTTTCAATAGAAATACTTTGAAGAAAGAAACATTAAAGATTTTTGAAAAATTTACAGTGCAGGAGTGTTTCTGCTAACTTTAGAGATCGACGACACAGAATAGAACACTGACAAAGTGTGAGCGGATTTAGATTGGCACTAAGGGACGTGCGTTCATATTACTTACCTTAGCCATTCCAAAAATTAGAAGTTTAAATTTTTTGTCTCAAAAACTACACATTTAAATTAAAAGATTTCTTCGATGATTGGTATCGGGCAATATACAGATTCAGAATATTTACAGGATGCGCCTACCAAGTGGTTTAGTTTTGTCGAAAAATTGATTTTCTCATCTATATCAATGTTTTCAGACGAATTTTTGGATTATGATTGTTCCACTCTACTTAAAATCCGTAACAAAATCTTCGCACAATTAGATAGTGCATGTTTTCGAAGTATATGTATCATGTTGTAAATCGATGAAAGGATCACTTTCATTTTTTCACTTAATCCTCATCGAGACAGACACTCTGAGGGTAAAAATCTAACTCTGTACATTAATACTCCTTGTCGATGGTGTTTCTCAAAAAAAAGAAGAAAAAGAGAAAAATACCAATAAAATAAATCAATTGTCGATTTCCTGGTGCTCCATATGTTCGACCAGATTTTTTTTCTAAAGGCTTTTCAAGCGAATTTTGTAACATTTCACTTGTTGTATAATCTATGAATTTAATAAAATAGAAAAAGAAACGAAGAATTAAATAATTAACATTTTATAAAAATTATACAATTGAGTGGAATTGTTGAAACCATAAAATTTTGTGAATTAAATTTTTCTAATCGATTTTTAATTATAACACTTTTACCCGTACCAGCTGAACCAATAAACATTACTGAAACACCTTTTTTCGTAAGTGCTTCAAGCCAAAATGATAAACGAACTGTTTCATTTGTAGGTATCAGTTGTGACTAGAAAATGTTTTTCTTTTTCATTAAGAAAGACAAATTAAGAAAAATACTTGAACTGGTAATTCAGGATCAAAATTAATTTCATCAACAAGTTTTGACCATGGTTCAAATCGTTTTGATTGTGGTTCAATTGAATAATCAAATACAGTCCCATGAGGTGGAAATTTAATACTTTTAAATTCATGAATAAACCATTTAGAAAATTCAATTCGATAATCAATCATTTGATCTTGAAAAAGTGAACCACCAATAGCCCATATAGTTGCCCAAACAAAATATAATTCCCACCATTCTTTTGGACAATCTGCTGGTAAATTTTGTGGTGTTAACAAACAATCTATAAAACAAAGAACAAAAAAGACCTCAACTATTATTATAGATGAACTTTATGGAAATATTTTCATCAAGAAAATAGTGACCTCAAACGATTCATAAAATGCCTCAAAAGAATTAAATCATTGAATATAACAAAAAGATAGGTGATCTCATTTTTATTTGAATATTAATCGATTTCTTATATTTATTGCATCAAAATCATGTTCGTTAAAGTGTTTTATAAGATTCAATGTAATAGGTGATTAGCTATATTAAATGGTGAGGGATAAAGTCTCACAGTTACAGCTGATATTTCTTATCAGAATTTTATTGAGAAAAACATATTGAAATCGATGAACTGTATTTGTTCAAGTCATCTACAAAGTACACAGGACAGATGGTTATTATTTATTTGATCGAAAAAAACTGCGTCCGACTGATGTTGAACAAAGTCAAAATCGCTAAAATGTGCATACAACATATTTGATATAATTTGAGATTGATATCTTTGTTGTTTTGTTTTTTGTAATGAAAACGTGTGATACTAATAAGACGATTATCTTCATTTTCGATTGAAAAAGACCTTGACAGTAACGATGGAGTAATTATTAGTATATAGACGACAACAATGAGGAAATTCTTCCAATTTATTAATCGTTACGGAGTCAGTACTCAATGCATTACATAGACCCAAATGAGTTTGAATGCTCGAAGAAAAGTTCGATCTGTATCTTGAAACAACAAGATCGAATGTGCCGATGAACATGAGCAATGTAAAACACAGGCTATTACCATAGCCGTATATTAGAGTAAGAGTATCGGAAAGATCTGAAACATTTACCATAAATTATTTTATTAAAGCCACGTCTTTATGCAAAATTTTAAGTCAAAAATTAGCTTTTCCAGTATTGCTAAGGGAATCCATAGCACCATCCTCAAAGATACCGTACAAATGCAGTATCTCTGCAGCTATAATCTAAAAGATCGAACTCTTCTCAAAGTATTCATAGGTCATTAGAGCCTATCTATACAGAACCAAGTTTGTTCGGTCATAGCCTCGATCTGGTCCCGATTTAGAGAAAAGTATTCTAGAATTTATTTGTATCATACCTAACAAAAGTTCTGCAATACTTGTTTCGTTTATTTATTTAGGCGTCAACTAGCACTTGTTAGGTTATCTCTCTTGAATGATATTCTGATTGATATGAATTATAAGATAATTCACTTTAACATCATAGAGTATTTAGCTATAATCTTTAGTTTCAGTTGAGACAACTTTTTCTTATGGTCTTGCACATATGTGTAGCTGGCAGACTTTCCTCATAAGATACATAGAAGTGCAACAGAGGATACATCGCATTAATTGGAAAGAAACGAGTTGTATCTAACGATCTATTATAAGAAAAGCACATAAGTTCTATGATCGTCTATACTAGTTATCTTTTTGAAATTCACAAAATAATCTTTTGAAGGAATCGATTAGTTTATTGAAAGAGGATTGATAAATAAAATGAACGAATAGAAATTTATATCAACTTTTTTTGACATAAATTTGAGATCTTTTTCGACAGTTTTTCTTTCATTCAAATCAATACGATTCGGTGATATTCATGTTCGAACTAATAAACAATACTCATCTATCTATTCAAAGCCTAACGTAATCGAATTCAAATTTTTTTAAGTCAAACAAACAAACAAACTAACTAACCAAGAATATTACATAACATTTCTATATGACAAACATCAACTAATGGTGTAATCGTTTTTACACGTCCACTTTTAAGTAATTCCAAACAACGTGGTATATATTTATCAAATAATAATAATAATTGATTACGTTCACTATTTGATTCACGTTGTTCAACCCAACTAACATAAACAGGTGAATATCCAATATCATTTGTTGATACATATAAAATTCCTGCACGAGAAACAGTTGCTGGTGTAGCTGTTTTTAAATGACTTATTTCAAATAATAAACGCATGGTTTCATTAAGTGGAATTCGTTCATTACTAGCTAATGTAAGTACTTTATTATCATCCATAACTGTATTTAATGATTCAATCCACATTGGATCAATATCACCATCAAGTACAATCCATTTAGGTGCTAGAAAAAAAAAAGAACTTCATATTTGAGTTTAAATTTTTATAAGAAATAATTATTTACAATCTGATGTCATATTAGCTAAATCTCGCATAATAGTTGAAAATAGACCATCTTTCCATTCATGTGTTTGTCGATGCATATAGCCAAATAATTCATCATTAGTAACAGCTTTTGGATCAACTGAAAAGACAATAAATAGTATTTTTACTAATATTATAAGAATGATTTTACGATCAATAGCATGTGGTCGACGTTTCATATTTTGATAAGTTTTAAATAATGTTTTCCATATTTGTGTTTTACCTTAAATGAAATACAAAAGAATAATTTCATCTTGAGCTTTCGCCTCAAAAAAAAAGCTCATTTCAGTCAAAATTATCGAAATTAAGATAAATGGATGGGAGGATAGTTTGAGGTCGAATCGTCTACAAACAATATGACGTTTTGTTTGAAACGTCATTTTTTTTAAAATTTTAGATGACTTCGGTCATACTCTGCTTGAAAAAAAAACTTCTTCAGGAAAAACAGGGAACCCTTTCACTTTTTCTCTGCTTATGATTTTTCGATCGCGTATCACAAAGTTCTCGAAGGAGAATTCTAATAGTCAAGTGACTTTTTTTTTCTGAAAGAACATGTGAAACTGCAGTGTTTGTTCTTTGAAAAAAGTTTTTTTCATCGCTATCTAAAAACACACTAGACAGATAACCATTCTTTGCGTTATTGAGCTAGTCATCCCTTTTCTACGCAAAAAAAGTTTAAAGTTTAAAAACAAGAATTAATGAGGGAAAGTTCCTAGATGATTAAAAGCTGGTCGTAATAGATCGATAAACCAGAACATCTTTCAAAGAGTTCATATGAACGTTAAGATTTCACCGAGATCTTGACATTTTAGCGAATTTTCTCAGGAGGAACTTGATTTTTCGATAAAGTTGTATGTATATATCTTAGGAATACTTGATAGAACAGTTTTAAAATTTTGTGCATAAGCGAATCTCACTAAGATTTTCATCTTATCAACGGTTTTAGATAAAAATTCGACAATAGAACCCTATCGAAAAAAGAGTTCATCCTAAAAAGTTAATATCTCGGTCAAATTTTAATGTCAGCACGAACCTTTTCTGTAGGGTATTCTGGTTTATCGATCCATTACGATCAACTTGTAATCATATGAAAGTCTTTCCTCCTAAGTGAAGCTGTAGGCGCTTTGTCAACAGTTTTTTTTCTTTACAAAGGATCAAGCGAACTTTTCAAGAATGCCGATTTAAGAAAAATAAAAATTGAATTGACCTTCAGAAAAACAAATAGACCTGCAATACTACATTTTCTAGAATAATTTCTGTTTTAAAAGCTGATGTATTAATAAAAGTATCCACATTTACTTTCGAGTTGTAATAATGAAAGTACAAAAGTGCAAAGAAAAATGTTCCGTTCAAAACTATGGATCATCTCATTCGTCACAAGAAAACTTTTAAGTCTACATTTGGAAAGAACACAAAACTTTGATCAAAATCTATAGTTTTTAATGCTATGAAACACTTTCAAAGTAGTCAAGAGTAAATAAATCTTGTATTTAACAATTTTCGCACTATCCGTTACAAACTGCTTTCGTATTTGGAATAGAACGTTTAAATTGAATTTCTAATACCTGTTCCAGCATTTCCAATAATAAAAACAGAATGTCGTACATCAAATATTTCTTTTAATTGAACAACTTTAAGTACAAAATTATTTTGTACAGTTGGACTTGCTTCTTCAGCTTGTAAATGAAGATCGAGAGCAGCTATTCGAACTTTATTTTCAAAATCTTGATCTCTATTATAAAATTAAACAAAGATAAAAATAAATTAAATATTTGTAATAATGTACCTTTTTCGTTCAACATCTAATGCTGGAAATAGATCTCCAATAAGATTAAGAAAAACTGGCATATCTTCTATAGTTATTTTTGGTATATTAAAATCACGTAATGCTCTCATAAGTACTTTATCTTCACTCATATTAGGATCCGATCGTCTTAATGTTCCAGCTACAACAAGTACTGATTTAATTGCACGTAAACCCCAATCATAATGTTCCTTGGAAAAAAACAAGAATCAGTTCAAAAGAAAAATTATTTTGTAAAATCAAACTTGTTTGGATAATAAATTATGACATAATGTATATAATGTAACAAATTTTCTGCTTAATAATCGTGCATCTGTAAATCCAGCTGATACTAGATTTAATTCAGCTAAATAATGAAAAAATCGATATTCTATTGTTAATCAAATTTTTCTAAACAAACCAATTAATTCAAAATCTGGTACAACCATTGCACATGGTCTATTTATCAAAATAAAAAGAAAAATTAAATATGTCAAATCAATTTAAAAATTTTCTACCGAAATAATGCTTTTAAATTTTCTGGTAATTCTGTTCGTCCAGCATAGCCAGGATTCATTGTTATAAAAATACCGACAGATGGATGAAGTTTTATTTCTGTATTCATAAAATTAAATAATTTACGTTTAGCTCTTAATGCATCCTTTGTAAAAACGAATCTTAAAAAAATATATTTATTTTTGTTCTATTTTTACTTACAAAAATAAGTTTAACTTGTACGGCAACAACAGATAAAACTGCAATTGATATACGATTAAATCTTATTTAATTAAAATAAATATTATAAAAATAAAAGGATTAAATAGTAAAATTTACTCATCGAAACATCCCCAACAACCACTGAAAAAAAACGATAAAAAAAAAAATTTATAAAAATTTATTAGATAAAATATTCATACCTCATTGCTAATCCTTTAAATGTATTACCAATAGATTTATAATCAATTTGTTCAGAACAATTTGTAACAAAAACACATACACCTAATGATCGACCAAGATCTATTTAAAAGAATTCAATTTTCATATAAGTCTTTCTTAAAAAAGAAAACAAATTCTTTCTAACCTTTAGTTGTTTCCGTTTTTCCAGTTCCAGCCGGACCTAAACGGACTCAACATATACATCAAATAGATTTAATCTGATGATTCTACATACCAGCTGGGGCTCCACCAACAAATAAATGTAATGATTGCGTCAACGTTATATAGCATCTAAAGAGAATACGATGTTCTCATAGAAAGAACGCACAAAAAAATAGTGTCAGCAGTGGGAGTCGAACCCACGCCAGCATACGCTGACCAGAACACTCAACCTCACTGAGGAAGCATTACGCTTGAGTCTGGCGCCTTAGACCACTCGGCCATACTGACGACAAGAGTAGTTGATTCCTAAATCAATTTAATTTTCTGAGGATTGAAGAGCAGCTAAAAAGATTTTATCAACAGTTATGAAAATGTAATAAAAGAAGTTGAAACTTTTGTAAAATAATTCTTTCACTATAATGAATTTGTTTTTAAATTATTACTTTATGAGACTATTTGAGTAATATAAATAATTAGACTTTTTTCAAGAAAATTAAAATTAAATTATATATATATTTAATTCGATCTACAATGAGTATTTTTGTTTTCGTTTTATTTTTATTTTTATTTCTCTATGTCAGTTAAGTCACATGTGTATTTGAGTCATTCTCTTTCGATTCAAAGGAATGATTGATTGAGTCATAACTTTATTTTTCACATGTATTATTCATTGTTAACCCTTTGAGGACGGATTTTTTTTTCAATCGAAAAATGGTTCTTCAATCAATCTGTTGTATTTGGCTTAAAATGATCAGATAAAAACCTGATGATAAGGCATCGAGAGAAGAGAGGGAGGAATCATGCGTCAGTGTATAGTAGCAGAAAGAAAGGAGGACATCTGATAAGGATCTATATGACAGGAAGAAAGAGAGAAAAGACCTGCATGAGATGGCAAATAAGCGACCTATTTACCTTAAAGATTGTAACAGTTTAATGTAGAGCAAACATTTTCTGTACTGAAAAACAGGTGGGACATAGTTGTCCTACCGTCCTCAAAGGGTTAATATGACTGATCTTTTCAAAAAATTATAATTTTTAATAAAAAGCATCAAAATCAAGAAAAAATAATTAAATCAAAATATTTTTTATTGCTTCAATACGTGTATTTGTGACATAACATCATACTTTAGAGAATATATATTCTGAAAGATAAAGTTGCCTGAATGTTAATTCAATGAGAAAAATATTGAGCGAATTCATTTTTTTAAATTACTTAGAGTAATACAAAAATTAGTTGTAGAGATATGTTAATTCTTTTTATAATTTGAATAATATCATAATAAAAACGATGCAACGATTAGAAATCATTTTCATCACTAAAATTTTGTTTGATTAAGTCGAATAACCAAAAATCATATGGTGACAAATCCAAAGAATCGCTTAAGTATAAACTTAATGAACATGTTTGCTAAGAGAGCACCAAGAAAAAGATATACATCGAAGACACTGTGTGATCTAATCTTACAAGTACACATCATAATAAATAGTTTTTATTGAAATATTTTTATTATGATATCAATTGAATTAGAAAAGGAATTAAAATACACCAACACTAATTTTATCATATCCTAAGTATATTCCATTAAAGATTTTCATTGAATATTTACATATGCAGTATACAGTAAAGACCGCGAAACAAATATAGATATCTTTACATTTGAACTCAATTAGAACTAGTAACACTTTCGATTTTTTTTTCTCATATCGTTAGGTCTTTCATCCCTTTTGAGAATTCTTGAGGAAATATTTGAAACTTTTACGATGGACAGATCTTAGATGTATTGAACAAAAGTTGTTATAGGATCCAAATTCGTAAATATTTCCTTGTAGAAAATATTCAGGTCATCAAGACTAATTTATAAAATCTGTCAAAAATCAACGATACAATATTTTTCAAAACAAAACAAGTATTTATCTCCAAACGGTGTTTAATATCTGCCAAAACCAATTTTCATCTCGACCGAACATATTATGTTGGAGAAACGAAGCTCCAGCTAAATCTATGTACTATGACATAATCTAGCAAAAAAAGGCATCAAAGAAAAGGGTTTAGGTGTACTTTGACGTAAAAAACTAATAGATTATAATACATTACCTATCGGTTAATGGTGTAATTACCAATCGACTTTTATTGCCCAAATATCTAAATATTATAATAGATTTCAATACAACTAATGTGTTTCCAAAAAATATAATGACTATTGGTTTTTTTATAATAACTCAAGAATGGAAAGAGCTAGAAAGTTGCAGTTTTCACCATTTAGGAGAGAAGACTCAGAGCCATCAAAGTATACTGGACTTTAATTGGTTAACAATAGACCGATTAGTGAAGTTCTTGATGAAGACTTTCGAGAACGACATCAGTTTAGATTTCTATCCGAATTAATCGATAGACAAAAAATTTTCTTCAGAATATTGTTTTCGAAAATCTCCACCAAGGTCGCACTTGACGAAGAGATTGTGGACGGATCAAGGTTTGATATATTTAGATGGGCTTGAGTTTTCTCGCTTGAATAGTGGAAACTGCACCTCTGAAGCTCCTTCCGTTGTTGAGCTATTGCAAAAATACTCGAGGTCATTACATTTTTGAAAAGACGTTAGTTAAATTGTATATAAACTCACTCATATTGATATTTAAATTTAGCATCACATATATTTGCATAGCAATTATTATCTTTTGGATCCCATCTATGTCTTAATTGTGATTGCCAAGTAAATTCATTACTATTTTCAATCTATATAGATAACTAAAAAAGAAAATTCTTTCTATATAATATTCTTTACTTTAAGATTAAGCATTTTTGAAATAACATCACGTGCATGAAGGTCAATAAGACATAGTGTTGTTATTTTTTCACGATCTTGATCATTTAAATAACCCAATAATAAATTAATAAGAGTATTAAGTTGTAATATTTGTTTTTTGTTATATTCACGTAATGCATTTGAAAAGCCTTCTTCCATTCGAGCAAATGTTCCATTTACATCTGTTGTCCACCTAAATATTAATTCATGAAAAACTATCTAACAAATAAATTTTACCACGAACCATATTTGACTTGCAGTAAGAATAATTTGAGCTGGATAATCGAAGATCCATTCTTCTCGAGGTTTATCCTATACTTGTAATCAATTTAGTGTCAATAGCACAATATGTGTCAAAAGTTCGTATGACAAAAGAAAGCTTTTTTTTTTACAATTTAAATGTTTGTTTGGTAATATCTTTAAGACTTTCATTAAAGAGTTAATGTGGGCTTCAAGATATATGTCAAAGATTTTGTGATGTAGAAGATCTTCGATCGAGTGTTCAAAAAGTCCAAACTAGGTGTACGTCCAACCTGAATTGTTAGGCACCGGAAAATGCAGCAGCTGGGTTTGTGATCTGTTCCTGACTTCGGTAGATGCCTAAGTGGGAACCATTTGAGCAGACACATACCGTTTGACCTACGTGAATGCCTAGGTGAGCCTAAAAGGGTTCGTTCTCATGAGTCTTTCGAGTCGAGTAAGAATCGTTTTACTGAACTTTCGACCTAATTTTAGATGTTTAATGGAAAACTAAGTAACGATATTTTGTCTACAGATATGTCTAATGATCGTTAGAATATTCTGAAAATTTCAACCGAAAAGTAAAGACATTGAATTTTCAAATAAACTCATTTTTTTGTGTCACGTCTGCAACAAGGAAATTTTTCTTTGGAAATTCGATATTTCAACAAAAGAACATTTTAATTTTCTATATATACTTAAATTTGAGTCGAAAATTTAGCGAGAGACGATCCTAACTGGGTTCTAAAAGTTCCTGGGAACATATGTATTTAGGCTATTCCTGGTCTCATCAATGCGTATTTGTAGAGGCTATTATTTTGTTCCCATAAGATATACAATTTTTGTAGGCTATCGCGAAGAATAATCTTAAGTGCACAGCAGAACGCATGATATTCGCCCTAGGCTGAAGGTTGAAAATGGGTGTGGATTGTAATCTTCTTTTCATCTACACCATGCGAACTTTTAAAATATTCAACTTTTAGTTACATACTTCAAAAGTAGTTACAGCTACTCTTAGCCAATTTCTGATTGTTTCACAATGAAAATCTAATAAACGTGATAACCAAATTTCTACTGCTCCTTCAAGATTACAATCATTAAAAAATTTCACACGTTCACCATCATCCGAATACACTAAAATCAAAATAAAATATTCAAAAAAAAATTTGTTCTTAAATCTTACTAGCATATGCCATTTTTAGTTTATTTCCATTTGTATCTTCACGTAAGTCTAATTTATTTAAACTATCAAATACTTTTTTTAATAATCTCATAACTTTTTCTGGTTCATTTCCATTCGATAAAAATTCAAGTAATTCCGAACCAGATACAAAGAAAAATCTGAATTGACTAAATTAAAATGATTGTTTATTTTTGCTGTTAACTTACCGTGGAAAGGCAAGCCTTTTGATTTCTATTCAAAAACAAAAACAAAAACATTAAAATAATAAATAAAGAAAAAATGATCATAGAATATGATCTCATAGAAAATACAGAAAAGGAAAATACGGAAATTCAGAATATTGAATAAGGAAACAAAGAGAGGGAATAAGGTATTCCAATTTCTGTAAAACAATATGTAATCGATGACGTATAGCTAAAATTCATTTTTATACGCTCAATTGAATGAATACAATCTCAAGTTTGATATTGGGTTGGATCAAGAGATTAGTAAAAAAGTATAGAAATGATATCTATATCTTTCGGCTGAGATTGGATCTAGAGATCTGCGTAATGATGAGTTTTAGTCATGATCACGAACATTCTGAAAATCAAAGATGTGCTGAGCCATGTTGTTTTTTAGTCCCGCTTTCGGTTTAGTGGAAACTATTTTGGAACTTATTCACACAAAGTTTTCAAAAAAATCTTAAACACTAATATTTTGATTAATTCAATTGACCAATGTCTTGATTTTTGGTCATCTCTCGAAATTCAGCTTTGATTAATGTGATTCCCTATAATCATAGGAAATATAACAAGTCTTAGTTTCGGTTCGAACAAGTTTTTTCTAATAGTACCAGTTTCGCATATCTCTAATATTGATAACTTCTCCATTAACCTTACTCAAAAACCCTTGCTGTCAAATGCGCCTACTTTTCGTTGATTAAATACGATTCTGAAAAATAACAAACGATTAACAGAAGATTTTTCTACAAAAGTGGAAAAAACCGTTCAAAAACTTGCACTTTGCAGATCTCTAATTGGATCAAGAAATTTATTTTTACTAGAAAAAAATAAATGTTTGAAAAGATTTCCTCATAGATCCCGATACAACGCAATCCACAACTATACACATCTATGTTATATGCTTTTTATTATTAAAGTCAATCTCATACGCTTATGTCTCTAAGTACTTAATTAAGTTTTCATGAAATTTTGTTCATAGGCATTTTATTTGAATTTCCTAGAAACAGGAACTCATCCTTGCATCAAAAGTAACGATCAGAATTTGAAAATGACAGTGAGCGTAGAAAAGACTGATTTTCTTTCACTGTTCAATTTTGTACTGTAAATAAACAACATTAAACAAAGTCGGGGCATAATAAAGCTCTCACTATCAATCTAACAAATTTTAAAAAATGATCTATCCATGGCATGCAACACAAGAAATAATGGATTTTCTAGGTTTTTAGAATATATGTAGGATTTTCATAAGTAAATATTACAACATTCTCTATTTTTCTTTTTTTGTGATGTTTAGATAGAACTGATTGAATTATATAAGAAAAAGTTTCTTTCGAACTTTAGAAAAATCAATAAAAAAGTGCAAGGTATTATTATCTTCAAATGTAAGGAACATAAATCGAACATCTTCAACTTTTTTAAATTTTTAAAATTTTTTTTCTCAATTTGAAACAAACATTTTCTTATGCTACTCAATAAGTTCCATCTAACCAACAGGAAAAAATCAATATCGTTGAAATTTTCACTTGTAACTATTCTACATATACTGTAGACGCCTAAAAAGTGCATCATCTCGCTCGTTGAACACAGTAGGCAGCACATATTTTACGTTGATTATTTTGTTAGTAACACTTTTAATTGAACCAGAGTATATCTAATATTTTTTACAAATAGTACAAAACCTTCTAATGTGCGAAAAATTTTCTAATACCTGCTCTGCACATTTTTATAGTTAATAGAAATGAAAAAGTTAAATGAATCATTCTAAATTTTTCTTTCCTGCGTTTTTTTCGTTTATAGGATAAAATTTACCTAAATAATCTTCTAATGCTTTTTGACATATTTGTAAATTATCCTTCATTTTTTCTAATTGATCATATAAACCTGGACGATTTGTACAACGAATAAAATTTAAATCAGCTTCATTTTCTTTTGCTATTATCTACAAAAATTCTTTGTATATTTAATTAATAAAAAACAAAAGAAATAAATAATTCAATCAACTTTAAATTCTTTATCAATTCTATGAAAAGCTTCGGTTTCTTCAGGTAATTGTATTCGAATATCATCAGTACCAATAAAAATTGCTTCTAAATTCGACCATGTACGTTGTACATCAGTTAATAATTGTAAAACCATATCAGCTGTTGACATTTGACTTTTCCATGCAATAACATTATCAATAAAATGTGAAATAAATTTTGATGAAAGTAATGTTTGTAATTGTGTTTGATGTTCATCTAATGCAACAAGTATATCATCATCAATTGTAACAAGTGTTACATTTGTACGCGGATGTTTTTCAATATGAAAATTCATATTTGACCTTAGAAAATTAGTTTTAATTATTAAAAGTTTTCTTTTTTTTTTCTACACATGAAAAATTACCAAGTATTTTCAAGATCGTGTAAAATTTTTTCCATTCCTTGTTCTTTGTCTGCTTTATCAACAATATTTTTAACCTAAAGATTTTTATTTAAAAAAAAAATCTTTAGATTAAAAATAGAAAATCAAATAAAAAACCTCTTCTTCATATTTATGTAGATTAAGAACAAGTAAATCTTGTAGACTTGTTTCATTTGTCATATGAATTTGAACCCCTGTTTCTTTCATTAATTCTTCCCAATGACGTGATCTTATTGCATTATTACGAAATTCTCCAACAGAACGTAATGATGCAATAAGATTTTTAACATCTTTTTCAATTCCATGATAAGCATTCCATTGATTACATTCTTTAGCAAGTAAACGTAGCTCTTTATTTAAATATGTTTGTCGTAATTCTTGATCAATTAATTCAATATTCACTTGTTTCCATGGAGTTTTTGTCCATTCATCAATACGTGAACGAATTAAATAAATTAAATCCCATAATTGTTTTAATGGACGCATTTCTTTACGACATAATTTTACACTATGATAAAATATTTCGTTTTTTGTTTATTATAAATTTAAATGGGTTTTTTTTTGAATAATTACGTTTTATATTCAGGAATATTGATATCAAATATACTAGCAAGATCAGTTAATTGTTGAACTTCTTGATCGAATTTACGTAATTGTAATGCCCAATTATCAAGTTCTAGAAATTAGGTTTTCTTTTAAAAAGTATTTCTTTAGTAGTCGGACACTATATGCTTAAAATCTTAATCTTCTACTTGTTATTATTGATTAATCCAGTATCGCACATTTTTCCGCATAACCCACCGTATATGCTGACTTTTCATGGCGGAATCAGTAATTTTGGTTTCAGTTAATAAATATAGTGAATTACAGAAGTTTTTATTTATGCAAGCAAATTTCAACGGTATCTTTCGCATCTATCACTTCTAACCGAAATTTAAAAATTTTGTCTTATTTCTATGCATAGAAAAATTCTATATAACAATTTGCTTTTTAATTATTTCAAGTTTTTGATTAAACTTTGATGTAAGAAGTTTTCAGATTTTTAATAGTATTATTTTAGACATTTTGTTTGATATGTTTTCCATAAAAGTAAATCGTAATCGTTTTAAGTTTAGTAACCGTGAAGCGAATGAGATTGATATATTCCATCTAAACAACTGATCATGGAAGTTTTTAGTCAACCAAAAGTGATCTATTTTCAAGTGATGCGCTCATATCCGTAATGTTAGTAATTCTGTTTATTCAGTAAAGTCAGATAAAAGAAGTTTTTGGAGTATGTCAAGGTTATTCTGTTGATCAAGCTTTGGGTCATCAAAATAAAGGCTCAACAATCAGTTTGCTTGACCTAACACGCCACACAATAAGTTTCGGTGAGTGCATTTTAACTTCCAAACGATTTACAGATCATTGTGAGTCCTCATACAACAGCGAGATAAAGGGTAAGCATGTAGATAACATTCAAGAAAATCAAGGAATTAAAAAATATAGTTGTGTAACACCTTCTGATACATGGGGAAATGGCTGAATATTTATATCTCAATTAGAAGTGATAGTTTTGAAGGATGCTTTTGAAGTTTTCTCGCATAAATAAAAGCCTCGATGTAAGGACTTCTTATTTAAAAAAAACTTAGCAGATAAAGTCCGATTGAATTGTAAAGATATGTATAAAAAATTTTGCAACAAACTGTATTTGGTTCCAAAATCGATATCATTCTGCTCTCATATAAAAATTTGCACCAGAAAAGTCTCCAGAAAACGACCGTCGACATGTTTAGTACAGTGACCGTGATAGGATAGCCTACGATTAATCCATCAAATTATCACCGGTATAGTGTACATTATCCTGAATAACCTACTGGTAGATGTTGTCTAGTTTGAATCGCTTGAATGTTTAATAGAATGCAAATAGCCAGCTGTAATCTTATGCATTACGACAGGTTAAAGTGATTCAAGATGTTCTTGAATAAGGGTTTAAATGAATATGTTAAAGCAAGTTTTCGACTGAAGAAGAAACAATTAAGTAATTGAAAGGTCTATTTACTCAATTATATATTCAAAAAAAACAGCTTTTATTTCGGGAAAATTTCTCGTAAATTTGACAGCCATCGAAAATGTATAGCTCCATCCATTCGAACTTTAGAATGGATCTACGAAGAGAATTTTTTTGATTTTGCATAATCCAACTAATCGAGCCTGAATAATATCTTTAATGCTTCAAAATCAGATCAACTTTTCTTAAAACTAATCAACTGTATCTCTGCTTGAGAAAATATCAAACATACAGTTCAGTGTATTCTTTCTTTTGTAGGAGAGAAACGCATAGACTGCACTTCAACAAGTAACATATTCAGCAAATGTCATCTATGATTAGATCGGATTCATTGTTGTAAAGAATCAGCTTGTCTTCTTATTTAAGGTCTATAAAGTGCGTTATAAGACTCAAGCATTCGGAAAAAGTTGATTCTATTGTCGACACTCAAACAGACGATTTTCTGCTAGGCAACCATAGATTTTTATCCAACATTTATAGGTCATTCTAAAAGCAGCACATTTTTGAACTTGAAAAGAATCTGGAAAAAGCACGGGAGAAGTTTGTAAAGGAAGTTGATGACATTCACTGAATTACAAAATACACTCTATATCAACTTTTTGTTTTAAAAATTAATTTCTGTATGTTCTGATGTTATATGTCTTTGTTTAGACCTGTTAGTATTCGAAATCAAAATTCTCGCAAATAATCTTACCAACATAAGGTTCTTTTGTATCATATTTAAATGGTGCATCTCTTAAAAATCTTTCTCGAAGTTCGTGTTGTTTCTTTTCCATATCAATAATTTGATTACGAATATTTACAATTTGATTTGCTTGTAATGGTGCAATATGTTGTTTCATTTTTATAGCCATTTTTTTAATAATAATCCATTTTTCAGGTAATTCATCAAGCATTGCATAAATTGATTGTGGTACTTCATATGCGTATGATTTAAGTAATTCAATAATATCTTTAATTGGTTCAGCCATATCATCTGTATATTCTTGTCGAGCACGTACTTGACTTAAAAATGTCATCATTTCGATTAAACCTTTTAAATCATCAGATTTAACTTGACGTTGTAACATATCTGTTGCATGTTTTATAAATAATTCTAATTCATTTAATGAAACAGTAACATGATCAATTAAATAATTTTTATATCTATTTTCAAATGAAAAATTTTGATAAAAAATTTAAAAAAAAAAGAAGCTACTAACATAATCCCTATGAAATTAAAAACACGACATAACTATTGTTAATAACAGAGAGATCTATTCAATAAATCAGTTTAAATCAATGTTGTGGATACTCAATAAAGATGTGCAGGACAACCATTTTTTTCGTATCCTGTGCCCTAACTGAGAAAAATTTTCTAATCGTTATCCTACCTTGGAGAACTTTAGCCGTTATTTTACCCTGCAGGATAGGGTAAGATAACCCTACACATCCCTAATACGCTATCCTTTATTCGATTCATAAGACAAAACCTCTTAGAGTAATAAAAAAGATAGTATCGTTTACTGATAAAATTCTACAGAATTGAGTGGATCAAGCTGTTACTGTAGCAAATAGATGTGGACTGAAAGTATCGATTTTGTACTCTTTTAGAATAAATGCTCAGAATTTTTGTGAATTTTGATTACTGAGCTATAAGTTTTGACAACTCAAAAAAGTATGCTAAAATCTTCTTCTTCTAAAGTCGAGTTCACATCAAATAAGTTTCGTAAATATATAGCACTTCAGAGGCATCTGTATTCTAGAAAATGACGCAAGAATGGACTTTTGATTAATCCGCTAAACACTGACAGAGTTGTGACAGAAAATTATTTTGTGCTGAGAGGACAAAAATCGAAAAAATAGCCATTTTTTTCTTGCGATAGGCTTTATAAAAACCATTACTGAACTTCAACAGTTTGCAAAAAAGTTATCGCTTTATAACGAATTATTTTTTGTATGTTCCAATATATTCGATAAAACTTTGTGGAATATTTGTAACAAGCTCCACTCGAGATATTTTCCTGCAAATAATATGTTTGAGACTTATCAACCATCGTTTATAGCTTTATCGAGTGGCCCAGATAAAATCGAACACTTTTATTTTGATCGTATCATCTGTTCTTTTAAAGTTATAAGACCAGTCTTTTTTCAATAGATTCTCCAATGAATTCTCTATGAAATTTTAGATTTTATTTAATACAAAAAAGCTTTCATCATATTTTTCAAAACTACATACATTCTTTTATTCCAATGTTCAATACTTTCCCTTACCTGATCACAACGAAATTTTTTTACAGCTTTCTTCAGTTTATTAATTAACGACAATTTAGATTATATTCCACTCCAATTTATCATCTAACTCAATTCGTCCTAAATACGGTAATTCATTTGGATTCAAGTCAGAACTATAGTGCATCGACATTTGATTGATGAATTGAAGCATGCTTTAAAAACACTCCGTTATATTGTTGTAACGAAAAGTGTTGAAGATTGGAGTAAAAGAATGTATGTAGTTTTGCAAAATGATGAAAGCTTTTTGCATTAAATAAAATCTAAAATTTCATAGAGAATTTCTTGAAGAATCTGCTGAAAAAAACTGGTCTTATAGCTTTAAAAGAACAGATGATGTGATCAAAATAAAAGTGTCCGATTTTATCTGGACCACCCAATATAATCAGAAATCACAACAAAATGTTAGCATATATCCCGAAACAGTATAAAATTCTGATTCTAATGCACAACTCCTCACTTTTTTCCAATGCATTTTCAATAGACGAAAAATGGTCAAATATTTTATCTAAAACCTCTCGGCTCATCCCCTTTCTTAAGCTACCTAGTAACCGTAGTTACTTAAATACAATTAATTTTGTTTCTATAAGTTCGCTGAAAGATTTATTCTGATAATAATTGATTTAAAAATTTTATTAACTTGGCAATTTAGCAAGCAAAGAATTGTTATTGACTACAGTTCGATTTAGCAAGTATGTTTGTAAATCTTTCATACTGGTAGTTCGAAATTTCCATGGAAGTGTCTATCGGTGAGAAATTTTCGTTCGCTTTACAAAAATGCTATCATTTGTAAGCCATCCTCCAAGTGTTTTCTCCGCCACGAAGAGTACCCGGGCACTCTTCTCTAGCTAAAGCCTTAACATATGCTTAGTGTCTTTTTTAAAGACAATTGAATCGATACTTTAAAAAAATAGCGAAGTGTTCGTCACGAATATTCTATCGATTGTTGTCTAACTGAAGTCAACAACTAATGCTTGAAATATTATACCAAAATGATGCAGAGTTTTAGTCAAGATTAATAGAAGAAAACTTTCATGATAAGTATGACAACGAATTAATCATGTCTAACTAATGATGATAACTGGTCCAAATAATTACTACAGTAAAAATTTGATTAACTCTATTCTATAGAATCTGTAAACTCCACTATTTTTACTTCATTCGAAGTAAATCAATATTATCTTCGAGCTTTTCTTGCTTGTCTATAAATTGATGTACTTCATCTTTATTAATCTGAAAAAATGCACAATAAAAGACTTGGAGTTCTTTTCATAAGCTGTATCCTGCAATATTTTTAGTGTTAGCTAAAAACCAGTAAGTACGACACTTTCAGATATAGAAAATACCAAAAAAATAGATTTTTCTCTTTAGTATTTTATTTTGGATAAAAGTCATTTTTCAATTGTCTTATACTTCAACTCGAATTTTAATTAGTATTTTGAAAGCATTGAACTTACAAATTAATCCATTTGTTAACAAGTGTAAGTAATTGTCGTTTAATAGGTCGAGCATCAACTCTTAACCAACTATTAAAAAGAAAAGTTTGATCCCAACTATCAATATCATTATATATTGATTGAAATAAATCGATTTGATTTTGAAATTGTATTAAACTTGGTGGTGTTTCTTTAACATGTTCACGATTTTCTAATTCATAATCTATTTCGAATTAAAATTACAATTTTTATTTAATAATACAAAAAAATAAATAAATAAATAAATTTTAACCTTCAAGTGAACGACCATAGAGAAGAAATTGTCTCATATGTTCTTTTCTATCATCAAGCCATAAATAAGAATAATCTTCCACTTCTTCTTTCCAATCATTAGCTTCTTTCATTGTGTCACGTAGTCGTTCCATAATTTTTAATCGACGATCATTTAATTCTTTCATTTCTTCAAGATCATTCTATATAATAATAATTATTATACATTTAAATTTATTTTTATTTTATTCTAATATTCTTTTATTTACTTGATAATGTTTTTGTCCAGAATGTTCAGCAAGACGAGGAAGCATAGCAGCTTGTCGAAAAATATTACCTATTAATGTATCAACTATATCATAAAGACCATTAGCACTACCAAATTCAAGAGTTGGATTAAAACGTAAATCAAGATCCTTAGACAACAATAAAAATGAAAGTTCAAATAATTGAATTTTCAACAATGATTACATCTAATATAAGTTGAACTTCAAAAAGTGGACGTTTGTTAAGTGTTGGATCAGATTCTTCAAGTAGATAATTAAGATTATATTCAATAATTTCATACAGTGATTCTATAACTATTTCATCAACATAATCAACATATGCTTTCCATATATCTGAATCAGCATCAGCTTTTAATAACCATTTATTTTGCTGAAGAAAAAAGGTAACAGTAACGGTTCAAGTAAAGTTTTATTCATTCAGCAACTATTTCTTTAATCAATTTGATGTTATTTTGGCTTGATTATTTCGAAAGTTATGAATGAAATTAGTTGATTTTAAAACTTGAAACACTACTTTGACTTCTGTTTTTTTTTTTTATGTAGACAAACATTTTATATGAGAATGTAAGAATCTCTCCGAAAAAAGAAGAATACAACTCAATGTTGATGTCGCCTATGGTTTTTCTCCTATGAAAAAAAAACATTCAAGTTAGCTGAGCCATTTCCGTTGATTTGCATGTTGTAAATCTTAGTATCAATAAAATCCTAAAAGTATTTATACTGATAAAGCTTCATTCAGCTTCTTTTCTCGTAAAACGAGGTTATCTATCAAATTTCAATAACTACATTCTTTTTCTCAGTATTGTTCTAATTGGGATGTTTAATTTCAAAGTAAACCGAGGACATTTGGCTAGAGTAAAAAAAGCAGACTTTTTCGCTTTTTCAAATGTGTGTCTAGAATTTCCTTTTAGGGTAAAATTGGATAACTATCATAAAATTGTTTCAGAAGATTCAAAATATTGGTTGTACAGAACAGTATTTTGGTCAATTCTGTATTTCGATTCTATTTACTTTTGTGTAGCACATTTTAAAACTTTTGTACTTTTAAAAGCAATTTTTAGATCTATACTGATATCCATAGAAACTAACTCTTCAGTAAAAATACATAAATGATATCTTTTGTAATGTATTATATCATTTTGTAGAGAAATCAATGCTTTACAATAATGTAGAACTAAACCTGTTCTAAGACACAAACTAAAGACTACGCCCAAACCGCTATTTTGCTGTGCATAGTCATTATTTTAGATTTCTTCACGAAATTTTCTGAGAATTATTCAATATTAGTTGTGATCAATTCCACAATCAAGTTTCTTACATATGAACAAAACATCCATGACTAAAACTTTTTAGTTTTTGATAATGAAAATAATTTAAATAACGCTGTAATTTTACTTTGAGAATATCTTGTAAACGTAAACCAGCATCTCTGAGTTCATTATTTCTCTTCAATACTCTATCTTCTTTTTCATAAACAATAAGTAATGGATCTTGTCGAGTTTCACCACGTGAAAATAATGCCGTTTTAAGAAAATGTTTTAGAATTCTTTGCATATCATCTAAATTTGATTTGCTTTTAAAGAAACGTGCTTCAAAATCACTAATTGTTGTTCGAAGACGACGAATAAAATCAGGTGAATCTTAAAAAGATACAAAGTGGATCAACTGATAGATCGCTTTTGAGATGAATCTTACATCTTTAGATAGATCTTATTAAAACGAGAGAAGGTTTACAAGAATTCATATTCATGGATTGTTTTTGTTCAGTTATGATTATTTCAGTTAGTTTTTCAAGGAAGGAAGTCTCACGAATTTTGCTATTTTCCCTGAATAGTTTTTCAGTAAAATACATTGTTGAAGTTCTTCACAAGACTGATGCCCATTTTATAACAAAGCCGGATGGGTATTTTTTGAATAACTTTTAAACAGATTGAGCTAGAGAGTTGCAATTTTCACTATTGTACAGAGTAGGTGAAGACGCATCGAATCATATATGAAAAAATTTTTCTAATTACTTTCCTAACAGTTTTACATAAAGTTTTTAGAAAAACAGCATGCTTTTCATAGTCGTGACATTAATTTATTGGTTTTCAGGAGGGTATTAGGACCACCAGATGAATAGCTACAAAACTATATAAAAATTCTATTCCTAACCACTAACGGTGAGACATCCTAACCATTGGAGTACAATTTACTACCCAATTTTCTCAACAAAGTAATCGAAAAATTTAAGTTTTTGCAGTCTTTTTAACGAAAAATTAATTTTTTTAAGGTATGAAAGTAATTTTTGGAAAACGTTTGACTAAAACTATTAGGAAAGTAGTTAGAAAAACGTTTTTATATATGGTTCGACGCGTCTTCATCTTCTCTTTCCAATGTTGAAAATCGCAGCTCTCAAGCTCAATCTGTTCAAAAGTTAGTCAAAAAATACCCATCCGCCTTTTTTTTTTGAAATGGGCATTAGTTCGTTGTGAGAGTTTTGAATTATTAAGTTTCCTTTAGCATGAGATCTATATAAGAAATGTCGAATGTCTGTGTATCAGTTACCGGGACAAGGATCCAAGGTAAAATGCAAAAACCTAGCCGTAGAATGTGCACGAGAACTCGCTAGTATAAATATAAACACAACCTTTGCTTTTTGACCTAAGAAAATGTTAACTACTGGTATCTGAAAATAGGAAATACTAGAAAATCTTATGCTTTGGCAATGACATATTAAATTTATCTGTGCAAAGTTTCAATTCAAAAATTGATTTTGAGGATGATTTGAAAAGATCGAAACAGTTTTCTTTTTGAAAAACTCGCTAAATCAGCTATATCTCAAAATAAATGACTCATGAATACGTATTAGAGACGATATAATTGCGTGTTTTTTTTTGAAATCGAGCCAAACTAATCCCATATATCTGATATATATCTAGAGGTGTAAGCCAATGAATTGATCGGTGGCGGCAAACCAAAATTTTCGATGACTTCCAAACAAATGTGTTGATATCGAGCAATTTGGAAATGAAAAAGAGAAAACGATGGTAGAGAAATTATAGACTAGAAACCAAATTTCTATATATGAGTTTTGGTGACCAAGGTTGAAATCTTAAAAAACTATTGTAGGCGATGGTGACTCAACCAATCAATTGAAACCTCTACACATATGTTTTTAGGCTTCCTCTTGTTTTAATACAACCTACCTAAGAAGATAAGACATATTCCACGATTAATTTAGCTACTGATGAAGTTTTCTCGTAAGTGAATCTTGTTTGAACATACCTGTATCGATATTAAATGTAACAATTGTACTTGCTTTTTCAAGGTTATTTTCAATAGTGGTTAATTCTTCACGGATTAATGGATATTCAATGATTAGAACATTGTCATATATGTGTCGATAGGACTTGGTAATATAATCTAAATACAAAGCTATTAGTGCAAACCTTTCGCGATAAAAATGTAAAATACAATGCAAGTATTGTTTCTAACCACAGAAAAAATGATTTTACTCTATCATTTTTGGAACATATTTCTTCGTTATTCTGTTAATTAACTTTTCAGAAATATAATAAGGAGGTCTTTTATATATTATAACGAAAATTTTTACGCTATGTACTTAAACGTTTTTTTCAGACCGTTTTAAACAAAAGTATTTTATTTTGTTATTACCGAGATCGATAAATTGTTGTTGAAATCGATCTATTTGCTTATAGAATTCTTCGATTTCTGGTGAAAGAATTAAATTTGGTATTTGATAAAGACGCATAACTTCATGCAAAGCTGTAGCAAGCTTTGTGAAAAAAAAGTAAAAAAACCATGAAAGTAAATTTTTTTGTATTTTGTTTAGAAAGATATCATTTTCATATTTACTTCTGATTTGATATTAACAATATAATATTCATTTTCTTTTCTAAGAAGTGGTTCATTTAAATGTAATAAATTTTCTTTTTGAAATAAATTAATCCATTGTTGATTTATATTTTCAATAAAATTATGAAGTTTTATTTGAATATTTTTTTCTTGTTCAAGTATTCGTTTATAAATATCATTATCTTTAATACTAAAATAATTATATTACAAGAAAAAAAAAACAAATACAAAAATATTTAGCAAATTTCACTTGATATCGATTGTTTTCAAAGGTTCTATTTGATTATAAATACGTTGACGTAATTGTTCAATCCATCGATAATGAGAAATTAATTTTGGCATAGATAATAACCATACTGAACTTGAATCTTTGATATATTCATCAAATAATATTTGATCTTCATTCAATGCATTTTCAATTATATTCAAAAGAGTATTTGTATATTCATTAATAACATTTTTAAGTCGATTTCTTTGTAAAGTTGATCCAAAAATACGAAGTAACTAAGAATAATACATAGAACTTGTTATCTTAATATTAATAGAAAAATCTCGACAAACTCGATAAATATCATCAATATTAGTTGTTTTAATATGACTAGAACAAGGATGAAGACAACGATGCAGAATATTAGCAATACGTTCATCACCAGCAAAAATAATTTTACGAAATGTTTTATAAGCATTAAGAAAATCCAAATTCGATTCATTTGTTATATCGTCCGATAGATCTATATTGAATGTTATTAATTGAAAATTAAAAATAAACTTTTACCACGAAATACAGCATAGGTGGATTTAAAATCTCCGATCACTTTTTGTAAAATATTTTGTAATTCATCAGCATCAATACCACCTAATTCAATCGATTCATATATAGAACATTCTTGTGCAGTTGCTAAAATATCCTAAATATATAAAATTCCAAAAACAAAAAGTTTCATAGATTTAAAAAAGTACATAATCTTCGCTTGATTGAAAAATTTTCAATAAACAGAATGTACCTTAGAAGGAGACAATTCTCTGCATCAAATAAACATTTATTTCGTATTTATTTGTATTTTATTTTTTTATGGAACTCACATATGTTTTTCAAGAAAAATAGTTGAGTGTAAGTTTCAAGTCGAAAATTTTCAGCTTCTCCACGCTCTAGCTTTTGATTTAAGCAATGGAGAGTTTTCAGAGATCAATGGACTATATTCAACGAAAACAGACGCTGAATGACATTTACAACAAGACCTAAACTGTTCTAGAATATTTCAATGACTTCTTTAAAACTTGAACGCCTGGAATGCATTTGTAAATATCCTAAAGAGCACAATTTCTGATTTTTACACAGAAAAACAATTCTATGGTGGATGTCAAGAATCATAGGATGGCCATACGTTCAAGTATCAAACTGTCGACAGTTTCTGCTTGGTTCGAATCATGTTGAAACTTTGAGAATAATAAATAGCAATATTTCTGAGTGTATCAAAATATATAATAATGTTGTGAGACTTGCTGCTGTTCAACAAAACAAGCAAACAATAGAATACTAGTAAAAAAAATTCTGTTCAATATGCACAAATAGTTTCTCTGTTGATCGATTATCCTTGAAAAATAACTATAGTCTATTAAAAACTTTGCATTTTACGCATCATTCATTAATATAATGATGCTCAATAACAATATGTTCAGCATTTCATGATTCATATATAAAACAATATAGTAGTATTTTTTTAAATTTTGACATACTTTAGGAAAAATTCAGTTCATTACATTGAAGATATTCAATTATTTTAAATGAAGCAATTTATGAGTTAGTCTATATCTGACGAGTACAAAATTGTAATCACTTTCTTACAATAATTAAAGTTATCATTTATTTTTCTTTACTCGAATTTGAAAGATTCACTCATAGTATGCATTGTAAAATGATTTGAGAAATACAAAAACTATTCTTACTTTAAGCATTTTAAGTCGATCAATAAAATGATCAAATCGTTCAAAGATTTTTGACTCTGGTATTTCCCAATAAAGTGTCTAGAAAATAATGATTAACACAGACATTATTAAATATAGAAGAAATTTTACTTGACGATCATCATTAAAATACGATGGTAATAATTCCTTACGACGTTGATACGATCTTTTATATAGAAGACATGTTTCAAGTGATAAATTAATCAATTGAATTGGTTCATCAAAATCTGTATCAACAAATAAATCATTTGGTTGAAGTAAATCACGAATCTACGAAACAAACAATATAGAATGCATACAATGTAATATTCTCATGTAGATGTGGATCTTATTCTCACATCCATACTAGATAATATCATGTTTGCCCTTTTTTTTATTTAAATGAGAAAACATTAGATGTTCTAAACAATCGAAATCTGACGATTCAAATCAGATAAGACATGGGACCTTATCTTTTTTTATAGGAACCTATGCTAAACAAATGAATAACGGTTTTGTTGTACGTTCTTAATTTTAAATTTGAGCATATCAATTCTTCTGCTTAGTTTTGAATGCTGCATTAAAATAAAATATTCTCAGAGAATTTTTTTTGAAAATTCTGTAGAAGTTAGAGTAGTTTGTAGAAAAAAAATGGTGTTCTTGATATAAATAGTCTTATCCATTATTTAAGCTCTTTTGAACAAAAAAAGAGTGATCAATACAAAACGTATACATCTAGAATCATTTGATCAAGCCCTATCAAAACATTTATAAATAAATGAAAAAACTAAATCTATTTGAATTTTGCCTTACATAAATATTAATTTCTTGTTTAAATTATTTCCAAAATCTTACTTTTAAAATAACAAGATTTGTCCATTGTTGTAAAAGTCCAATAAATCGACCTATATTTGTATTATAAATGGAATTCGCCCAAACTAAAGCTAATGTATGAAATAATCGATCAAAATATAATGAAATTGTTTTAATATCTTGAACTTTTTCAATCATTTCAAGAATAGGTACAAGTGGTTTTAAATATAGAGCAATATTTTGTGCTTCAGCTAATGCTTGAATAATATCACGAAATATAATACGAAATCTTGAAAAATAATTTGAACTTGAAATTTCAAGAACTTCAGCAAGACGTCGAACTAATGGTGAATGCATCTATTGATTTAATTTTCTTTTTTTAGAATAATCAATATGAATTGTTAAACATACTTGTGTTTTAATTCCTTGTAAATTTTCTGCTCGATTTGTCCAAAATTCAATTTCAACATTTGGTAATATATAATATTTATTGTTCGGTGGATCATGATCATAATTGATTACTGTTTGAATTTGATTTTTCCAAGTTATTATAAGATTTTCTAATAAACGAATTTTTCTACCATCAAATGTTTTATTACTAATTATATACGAAAACAAAACATAACATCGATGAAATAAATTTTTTGATAAACTATTCTTACTGACTAAGTACATGAAGATAATCTGATTTTGATAAAAATTCAATTTCATGTGGTATTGATAAGATTGTTTGACCTCGAAGTATTCCATTGATTACTGTTAATAAATTTGTTAATTCAGATATATTTTCTATACAATTCCGAAGAACAATATCAGGCCAATCGGATATTGTTTTTCTACGTTGTAATATTGGCCAAAGAATCTAATCAAATAGATAAATATTTTTAAAATAATTATATTGAATAATATACTTCAGATATAAATAAACTTAATTGTGTAATTGATGAAGATGTAAATTCTGCAATAGCTATTTGTTTTTTTAATGGTATATCTTTTTCAATAATAGTTTCATTTCGTTTAACAAAACAGATTATTTTTGATTTCAATTGAATTGGAAATTCAGTTAGAAGATTTAATGAATCAGAATTTTCAAATATAAGTATTATATTACGATCAGGTTTATCAAAAAATGATTCAATAAGTTTACGATTTATTTCATTATTTATAATTGCTAAAAATGAAAAAGTAAAAAAAAAAAAAAAAAACTTTAAGATTCCAAACTAGTCGACGGAAAATAAAACACCTTTTTTAAATGCAATTGGTGTTGTACCATAAACAATATTGAGATAAGTAACAATAAAACGAAAACGTTGATCTTCCAATTCCATATCATCATTAACAATTTCAACTTCACCAATATCACTTGAAATTGAACTTCGTTCATTGACACTCTCATTCATTGTTATTAACAATGCAAAATGATTCAATAGCGCCTTTTTCTTATAAATTTAATTTCAATATTCAATTACCCGTATCTCTTGGTAGAATCAATTTCAAAAGATCTTATTATTAGAGATCGTCTATGAAGGATTTCCAGGTAATGAGACAGAAAAATGCCAACTATTTTTGAACGGTCAAATATTTACGATGAATATGTTTCTTTTTTTCCTTGAGTATAGTGTTGAAATAATTAAAGAATATGTTACATAGGCACATAGCTATTTTATGGAGCAGTTTTACGAGATTTTCCAGTACATTTTTATTAAATTTCATTTTTTATTTTCCCTATTCTCTACTCATTAAAATGCAATGTATGTAGAAAAAAAAAAGACTTTGCAATAGATTATATTTTTGTTTGTTGTTTATTTAACGAACTGTTATTTAATAAAAAGAATGAATCTGAACAGTGGAAAGAGGTGAAACTGCGATATTCGCTTGAACGTCCTTTACGGTTGGTCCTGAGTAAAATAATATTTTTATTTTCAAGTTTCCCAAGAATTAGATTTATATCAATTTCTTGAGGTACCATTAGATGATTCATAATGAATGACCGATTTTTGTATTTTTTGTCGTTTTATCACTTAGAAAGTTTGATTTAAAAATAAAATCTAATACAAGATACAGTGTAAAAAAGTTCTACAATCCTTCGTTCGGAAAATAGTCACAGTCTTGATCGTTTTCGGATAAGCGATCAATTTGTTTTTTTTATTCCATCGATTAAAAACAATTCTATTCATTGATGAAATGATAAGGAGTAGACAGTCAGGAGGCATAAATCAAAAGGCCAAGTATTAAGAAGGAAGAAAAAGAATTATTCTCTGATTAGGGATATCTAAAGATGGTTTACGTTTCTAAGGATATTAAAACCTAATGAAGCATTCTCACATAAAAATTATATTGACATTGTTCTCTCACTTGCGCAATCTGACAACCGACGGCTCTTGTGGCAATGATTTCATTTGTCAACAAGATAATGCTATGGTACATACTCATGAAGAATATTTGAGATGGTGTGGAAGAAGTTTCATGCATTTTATGAACAATATCAAGTGACCATCAAGCAGTCTTGTTCTCAATGTTTTGAACTAGTGTGTGTTGGATGATATTAATAAAAGTATGTAACCGGATAAAGTTAAAAATTCCGATTCTTTAATTGACAGAATAAGAAAAGAAATTCATTGTATCCCGAAAAATGATCTTGTTCGTACAGAATTTGGCTCATTTTAAAAATAAAGGGTACATATGCTAGATAAGACGTTTATTATAACTTGTGTCACACTGCATCATGTAGTGTACTTAGTAATAAAAAAGTACAAATACAAAAACTGGTCATTCTTTATGAGTTATTCGTTAACAATTTTTTGATTTCATTCAATTTTTATATTTAAGAGGCGGATGCGTTAAATACGGTTCATTTATGTATAAATATACAAGCATTCATAATCACAATAAACGGAGAGTGCAAGTCAGCTTTTTTCAAAAATGTGTTAACATCGCATTAGTGAAGCAGTTTAAAAAAAATATGTTGCTCATTGCAATCTATGGTTAGAAACAATTGTATTTCACTTCAAAGAATAATTATCATATAAGGTAATTCATAAAATTCCATAAGAGTATCGTGTATAGTAATATATGGCATGACGGTTTTTATTATCGGTTGCATCAAGTTCTTTTTTCAGTTGTCTGAATATGTTTAATGTTTCGATTACTGACACTAATCTTCGTCCTGACTTAGAGAACATTTTTTCACATCAAAACTTGAAGAAAATTCTTAAATATTCGCTTTTTGATTTATTCAATCAATGAATTTCAATATTTGCTTCTATGCATTACATCTTTTTGAACTAAGGATTTCCAATGATTTAAGATTCTTATTAGTAATCGTTGATCATATATTTCAATTAGATAAGCATACATATATGTAAAAATACTTTGTATTTATGATAGCAGTATAAGTAAATTGAAGAAAAATAGATTTCTATTCTCTTGTAAAAGATGTTGAAATCAATTATTGAATCTCAGCAGGATATATATTTTTTAATAATAGCTAATGCCATAGATGATTACATATAAAAGATTTCATTTTTTCTTTTATTTCATAGTATCTAATTCGAAATATTTAACATATTCAAACAAACCACTGGGATATTTATTGCTATTTTTTAATTAAAACCAAAGTCACCAAACAAAAATGTACTTTAGTTAGAAACAAATAAAACGAAGCCTTATTCATTCGAGAACGTGGCAGTTGCATTACCATGAATCAATAAAGTAATAAGATTGATCAGACTACAAAAGAAATGAATCGAAAACAGAAACAACACTACGTACTTTTATTACATAAACAAAATAAAATACAGGAACAACGGCAGTTACGGAAAAAAACAAGTAAGATTACATTGTTATTTCATGTTGAACAAATTTTCTTTTAGATCCTGATATCCATTCAACTAACTCTACATTCATCGTTCGTTCAGAAGATCAAAATAATGAAAACAATAAATCTCTAGATTCAACAATATCTATTCCAAATGGTATTCAACAATCAACAGTACCAAAACGAAAATCAATTGTTCACCAATTCTATAATGTTTATGCAGGAATGTCCGATGAAGAGTGGACAAAAACACGAGATGCATTTATTGCTGCATATTTTAAAAAATAAAGAAATGTATGTTGGTAACTAAGACCCATCAAAAGTGTTGAGATACATATTATATGATAATAAAGAAAGCTTAACGAAGAATTTCCTTTTATACATACTTGTACTACTAACAATCTTCTATATTTATCTATTGTATAATCATTAATGAGTCGACATCATTTTCTTAAGATCTAATAGAAAACTATATGTATCATTAATTTCGGGTGAATAAAGAATAGCACAATTTTAAATAAAAAAAAACGATATACAACAAGTAATTGAATTATAAAACTACAAAAGAATTACTTCTACTATATCTGTCTATCTTGTTTCTTTTTTATAAATATAAGAGAAATTCTATCAGTAGCAAGAAAAATACAGATAAAATTCTTTAGAATGCATCAATAGTCTTCAATAGAAGTTTAGATGTTTTACTTTAGTGCAAATATGATGCGGTGCTTCGAATGTAAATTTTTCTGTAGTTTTGTGTATATATGAATGGCTAATTGTAAGATCAAGGAGTGGTGATAAAAGCGTGTTGCTATTAATGAAAAGCTGTTCTATATTATTGCTATTTTCGTAATTTTTTTGTGAGTTGGAACACACAAGATAACACAAAGATCAATGAGATTGAATTATTTTCTATTAAGTTCACGTGACGCTTTATAATTTGGTAGCTATATGTTAGAAACAGGGAACCCAGTTAAAAACGAAAATGAGCTAGTAATACAAACATAGATTTCATGCTCAAATGAACAACAAAAATTTGTAAATAAACCTAGAGAAAAGTTGCTGCTGATATGATGCACTCACTCAAGTCATAGACGAGACGCACATAGTCTCCATATTTGCTTTAGACACGACACACTACATCAATTTAATCAATCAGCCTAAAGTCAACGTTGTCTCAGATTCTCTTTTCAACTTGATTAAATGTGTCAAATTTGTTTCGAGTTCAGTTAAACATGGTTATATCAACTTGAGTGAACAACAAACATCACGAAATCTATTAAAGGAATCAGCTCCTTCTTTGTAGTTTCATCTTTTGCTAAACGTTTAAAAACAAAAGAAAAACTGTTTGATCTCGATTTGACATTTGACTTGCTCGGCATTATACCAGATGTAGAGAAGAAAGGCTATTATCTTATTTAAGTTCGTGCAACCGATAGTGGTTGGCTACTGACCGACAAATATGTCACCAACGATAAAAGAAAACTAACTGAACAATCGGCTAAACTACTTGTCTAGGAGCTGGTCATACAAAGAAACGAACCTGATAAGTCGATTTACTGCATTCAACTTTTATTAAAACAGTCGAAGGATCAACAGATAGGTTAACCAATAATGTAAATCGCGTGCGGTTAATAATATACCAATGGACATATGCGCAAAGATGTCAAAGTAAAACGAATATTTCGTTATTCTTTTGAGAGAGTGCTATTTAATTTCTAACTTCATAACAGCTAGATGAAATTTCATTCTGTTTTCTAAAACCAAATCGGATATGTTTACCAGTGATCTTAACCAGCAGTATCACATCTTTTCTACTGTCAAAGAAAAGTTTATACATATAGAACAGCAAGATTTAGCTTTTGGATGGATATAATTCGATTTTTCAAAGTATTACTTATAGTAGGAAAACAATACGAAACATTCCAGTATACGAATCTCCAGTACTTGGTCTGCTATTTTTCATCAAGTAGTTCAATAAATACTTGAAACTGAAATGCAAAACGAATGTTTCATTTTTATCACTAATATTAAAATCTACTACAACTACTATTATATCCGCTTTTGTTGGGACTGCACAGAAGAAATTATATTGTAAAAACTGAATGAAAACAATAAATAATATCTTCACAGAAGTTTTCAACCCAGCGAGTCAGACTTACATTTTCATGTGTAAGGGTGTAGGTGTTGTCTTACTCTAGTTACAACTAACACTCATATCCGAAGGTTCAAATGGAAAATTCTATTATAAAAACTTTGCTCGATCAGTCATACAGAAGAAAAAAATACTAGTAATTATGAGTATTGTGTCTTGCATATGATTTAGAAACTCAACCCACTGTATCTCTTGAGTAAAAATTCCAAAGTTTTACCTTATATGACGCCTAATTGTGAAGGATTTGATAGCGGTTCTTTGGAGGTGAGAACCAAAGCCTTCTGATTAAATATAGTATAAATAGAGTTACAATACTGACTACCACATTTAAGTTGAACTACTCTAAATAGCAGACAATGAATGTAAAGCACAGATTACACAACAAAAAACTTCACCAATCATTATGTACAATGAGGCATACATCGGCATCTACTGAACATCACGAAAGAAAACTTCGATGGACAATGAAGAACTGAAAGACAACGATATCTGACAGAAGAATCTCATGAGTTGCAAGAATCGCAAGATAAGATTTGTTCATTCTGCAGCAACAAGAAAACCAATATATGAAAAGTGTCTTATTTGTCAAACGATGATCTTTGTGAGCAGAAGACTTGAATTCTCATGTGACGAAATCTCAACTAACGGATCAACTTCTTTGGTCAACATACTTGTTCTCTCAGAAGAAATCGTTCGTTCTATGATCAATTCATTCTCATTCTTTCCACATCAAACAAATTTCAGCAGAAAATAATCTAATTGAGTCTGTATCGAAGTAATTCTATTTGGGATCATCCGTAGGGAACGCTCTGGTAAAAATCGCATGGTTTGACTCTTTTTCTTTCGTTTGAACGTCTAGTATTAAAAAAAGCTTTTTAGAAAGAGCCTGCTTGTCCAAACACACTGCGACCTTTATATGAAATAACAAACAAAATTTAGCCCATTACAGAGTAGCAGAAAATAACAAAAACCAACAAGGCAGTTCAGAATCTAGGCCACTTGCCCGCAGAACATATGCTCGCCGGACAGATCCCCGCAAGACACTTGCCCGTATGATGCTTGCCCGCACTCTCACCCTCAACATTGTCGATTGCGTGCACGTATCGCACGGGCAAGTGTCTTGCGGGCATCTGTCCGGCGGGCAACTGTCTAGCAGGCAAGTGGCCGTAACCCGGCAGTTCAATAGCAATGGCACTCAAAAATTTAATAAGGTTCCCATTAGTGCTTCAAAAAATAACTAGCTGTCCATATAGCATAACCTTCAATTATTTCAATAGTATATTCATGTTCAACTGATCTTCTTATTTAAAAATGCTCTTCAACACCAGCTAAGCTTAGAAATTTCATGGAAAGTTTTGTGGAAAAAAGGAAAATATTCAGAGTAAGTGCCCAGACATCGATAAATGTTACATATTCCCCTTGTGTCGAGATATAATACAGTTTCCTTCGTCCTTGTACCTGGACGCCCTCTATGCATTATCCGTAAACATACATCATATAAAATAAAAAAGAATTTAAAGAAATTTGAGTTTTTCGACTTTTAATATGTAAGCACAGAAGGAATTCTATCAAAATGCAGAACAAAAATAGAATTACATCTGAGTTAGATATATTTTTCCCCTACCCATCTATTGTTATTGTTAACGATTAAGATAAAGTTCGAGAACCATTAAGCGATCGAATTATGTCTTGGGTAATTTTAAAATCCAGTTTCATACTACTTAATCCAAGTTTAACATTTATAGTTCATTTTTTCTTATCAATCTCGCATTTTTTTAATTGACAGAATAGTTTTAAGTCTGGTGCTATTCTTTTGTCACTATGTGAAAGTTAGAATAACAATAATGTATTTTATGCTATATTACTAACGCGATGTTACAAAATTATCGTTGACCTTTGATTGAGAAAAGTTCTGCAACCTTCTAGTACAATGTTTCAAAGGAAAATATAACCAAAAATATATCGTGCTTAGGGCTACAACATGTCGGAAACATAGACTGATAGCTAATACTTTCTTCCATGATACAAACAAACCATGACCTAGCTTGTATCCTTATTTGTGCTGACTTGATCTTCTTGTCATAAAAAATGGCCGTCAAAAAATTATAGAAATAGTTCATATTGTAGAGATATAAATCTCTATCATCTGAGATGTTTCACGCCTCAAAGTATTTAACAACGAAGAAGAAAATTTCAAAATATGACCAGAATTAAACAATTAAGTTTTTTGAGTATGATAATAAGCTTTGAAGAACTGTAGCCCTTGCCAAATCTTTTTCAAGTAAACCATAATGAGCTTTTATTTGAAATATCATAACAACTTTTTGCAGGGTTTTGAATGAAATAACCAAATTCAAAATCTAAAACTTCTCCGCAGACGAGATGGTCGATCTTTCGATGTACCATCTCTAAAGTCACACATTGAATGTTATATTTACTGATTAGTGTCTTGGCAATTATCCTAAAATTATTCATGCAATCATTATCAGTGACATACAATGGAATGTTTCAACAATTACTTTTCAATTGAAAAATAATTTTCGCCTTAAAAAGTTAAGCATTTGTTTATTTCAGACAAAAAAAAGTATACAGGAGTGTTGCAAGTTTGAATAGATTTTCAAATGCTTTTTTTAAACAGTTATACTACTTGTAAATCTCTCATGTTTTTTATTTTGTTTCGGCAACCTATTCTGCCCAAAACTAAAATTGTTAAAGACCTGCCAAAGAACCTGTTGGCGTTTACCACGAAGTTATAAAAAGTCATCAGAATTCTACAAGTAGTGTAACTGGTGAAAAAAATTATATTTTTCTCACACATTATTAGGTATTGCAGCATGAAAAAAAGCATCAGGATATCTGGTCAGATTGCCTGCTCTCATGTATATCATTATTCAAAAATAAAAACCAAAATTCTCTATAAAGAAAAACGCTGTTATTTATAATATAAAATACATAACTCAAATTGATTGTTAACACCTTCATTTATCTGGATGAATAAGAATTAGTGGACGAATGGAAACTGTTGTTCCTGGAGATTTTACAAGATGGCCAATTGCTCCATTTGATAATGCTGTTTTATCATTTGATACAGAATTCGGATATATTTCGTCCCTAGATTGAAAATGAATTCTTGCATCTCTTATTGCACTATTAAATCGTGTTCGTAAATGAACAATTTCAAACACATAATTCCGATAAGTATCTGATTTTTTCGATAAATGAAGTAGAAGAATATCGCAAACAAATGTTGCTAAACCAAAGAGTCCAACTAATGAACCAATATTTAAAGTCGATGTAATAATATCAAATTTTCCAGCTTTACCACTAACAGAAATTATAAAACGAAGACCAAAAGCTTTTGTTAATGCACGAAAATGATCTTCATTATGTTTCCAAGCAGTAGCATGACGAAAATTGAAACCCTTTGAAAATGGTTTTTCATAAAAAGGTACATCAAGACGAGCAAATGAATATTCAGGTTTACATAATTTTATATTTCGATCTAAATTACAATCCCAATCCAGTTTAATACGTACGACACCACCATAACGTAACATTAAATTACGTTCAGTAATATTTTTTTCCGCTTCACTCATTATATAATCTATAGTAAATATCGGACAATCTTTATGATCTTTTGGATGATAAGTACATGATTTTTTTAAACTATCAACCATATTTTTATGTTTAACTTCGAACATTGGAAATTCAATGAAATTTTTTATAAATAATGTAAAATCAAGAACTCCTTGAATAAGCATTGTCGATGTAAGATCATCTTCTGGTGGACACCAACCTACAAAAAAAAAAGTCTTGTTAATGTCTATCCCAGAAAAATAATGACCATGATATTTTTGAAATAGCTCTAGAATCGAAAGGTCTAGAGAGCTGTAGTTTTCACCATTCAAGAGACAATATCTAGGACCATCAAAGTATATCAAAATTTGATTGATCAGCAATGGATTAATCAGATGAATTCTTTGTGAATATTTTCGAAAGCGATATTCTAAAGCTATTTCTCATTCAATTTAGACTTTTATTACGACTAATCGACATAAAAAATTCTTATTTTTTGATGTATGCAAGGCCGCCATTCTTTGATAGTTTCATAAAAAGAGCTATAAGATTTTTTCTAATGCTCCTGATTTCAGTCAATTGAACTAGAATTAACTGAAAAACTAGCTGGATCAGAGTAATTCATCATGGTGAGTTGAATAGTGAGACTTGGTTTTAGGTTTGAAATGATCACATAGTATTATTTCAATATTTGTTACATTCTACAATCAATCTCCATAATAACGAAGGAGCTAATATTTTGGAAGTATTGAGACACAGTGTATTACATCATTTCAAAATCTAAAAACAAATATCACTATTCGACTCAACATGGTGAATTATCTTTGATTGACTGCTTTTCTCTAGATGATGGTTGTTCAGTTGACTGAAATAGGATGTCTCTAGAAAAGTGTTATAACTCTTGAATGAAACTCGTTCGGAATGTCACTGTTGCATAGATGGAAAGAGAAAAGTTTTTTCCATCAACTGTTATAAAAGCCAAAATTCAAAGGGAGAAAACTTTATAGTATCGTTTTTGAGAATATTCACAAAGAACTCACTTGATTGACCAACTGTTGATTAACAAAATTTCAAAATACTTTGATGACTTTGTGTCTTCTCTTTTGAACGGTGAAAGTCACTGTTCTCTAACTCTTTCCGTTGTTGAGTTATTGCAAAAACACTCATAATCATCATATTTTTGAACAGACGTTAGTAAAACAGCTAATTTCAAAGCTTTTTAAGAAAAATTCGATTAATGATCTTTTATTCATCCACTAGCTTTTGACAAATAAACAACTTTTATCAACACGAGTTCAATCATGAAAAAAAAGATACCAGTGTCATCTTACTCTAGAATAAAGATGGTCAGCGTTTGCATCATAATTGATCTTGACGATTGGACTTTAAGATACAAACTTCATACTATGAGAGTCGTTCAAAAAGTGCCGAGATTGATTCTATTTCACAATAATAAGAAGCCCTAATAATTCATATTCTTGTCTACGTGTAGTTCATACAGTTCTCGATCTATAGACGTCATGAGCTCTAATGAATTAAACATTTATATCCAGATATAGCAATACATTTTTTTAAATCACCTCTAATACACTGATAAAAAATCAAATTTGAGCAAAAATTTTGTGTTTTGGATGGTGAATGTTCATCCGATATTTATGAACGTACGTTGGTAACTTATAGTGATCATGCTCTATCATCCACTATGATTTTTGAACGAACTCCTGATTCTAAAGATGAATAGATAAGCATTGATAAATGAATGATGCAAAGTTTTTCAGATGCCATCAAATGCCACATTCATCTTAAACAGATTTTAGTCATATGTAAGTGATTATATGAAATTTTCAGAACTACGTAATTGAAATGCTTAAAATATTCACTATTTACTGAATTCGGATGTGAGGGTTTTTGGTGACCATTCTAGTGAGTAATTTTCTAAATTTAGATAAAAAATTCTGTATTAAAATACGGGTTGTCAGATTAACTGTAAAATGCAATGAAATCCGAATCATAATATAAACAAATAATGTTATTTTTTTTATGATAAATAACTGAAAGATTACAGATACTTATGCATTTGAAAATGTCTATCTGATTGATTTGAGTAACAATCAACATTGTCTATTTATATGTAATCAAATATCTCTGTTTCACAAAATAATTTATCTTTTATTTCCTACATTCTACTATGCTCAATCTATATCTTAGTTTTCTCTTACTTTATGAGATAGAGATTTTCATAGTTAATGAAAAAAGTTAAATATTTCATGATATCATCAATATAAAACAGTTTATTGTTAGAAGATTGAAGAAAAAAATAAAATTTGAAAAAATATACAGAATAAATATGGAACTGTAGGAAAAAATGATTGCTTATAATACAATACTATTTTAGTAATCATACAGCTGTACAATACCTTATCCATTGTATATATCCTTAAAAATAAATATTCATGTTTGTCTTTATCTATTAAATAAATTGATAAATCTTATATTTATTCTATAAACAATTAATAACTATGTAACTTCCTTCTCTAGCGATGAAAATTTCACAAGTTCTATCATTTTTTCAAGCATAACAACTGTAAGCTACTAAACTCAACAATTGAAACAAAAGCAAAAAAAATCTGATTAATTAATATTGTAAAAATGTTTTCAACCGTTGATACTGTTTCTAATAAAAAAGGGACACTTATATTTACAAACTCTTACAGTCATAACACTTGCCATGTGGATGTTTGATAAATTAGTCATACACGTGACTGATACTCATATACTGAATGTCTTCTAAGATATTGTTACAATAATAAAAATACTAAACATAAAACGGAAGCAATATTTCATTTGCTTTTTAAATGTAAATATCAAACTATTTCGTTAATATACAAAAAGTTCTCTGGTAACTTTTGCAATGTAAAAACAAAACGTCTACCTGCATATTCACATAAACCCGTTCTAGTTTTTGTAATATTTGTTGTCTCATTGCCAATATCTTTTTCTGGTGATAGTAAGCATCGACCTGTCCAACGTCCATTCATATCTGGTGTAAATGGTTTACTGGAGCATTGGGTATCATTTTGACATTTTGCTCCTTCAACTTTTATATGCTCAGCACATATAGTGCGTGTTTGATCAGTTTGAACAAAATTTGACATTATAAATATAGCATTATTTTCTGATGGTGGAATAATATAATCTATTAAAATAATATAATAATTAGATTCTCAATAAGATTCTTTCCTTTTATTTTCAATATACCTGCTACATCAATAATCAGTGTTTTATTTTCTAGCGTATGAGCATAACCAATGCCTTTTACTTTAAGTGTTACCGATGATATAACTGCTGTATCTTGTTTTTGATAACCTTTTTCATATATAAGTAAATATATTACAGAATAAATAAGAATAATGATTTGTATAATGCGAAGTATACCAGCATATTTTGCACTATGTATTAAAACTAATTTTGGTGTTTCATATTCAGTGAAAAAACCCATAAGCATATTTTTCACACTTTTTCCAATATGATACCGCTTTTTTAAAAGTGGAGTTGAATTCATTTTGTGAATTAAAATATATTATATAGTCTAGAATAGAATTAATAATATTAATAATCAATGATTTTTACTAAAAAAAAAAAAAAAGAAAATTTAGTATATAAAAAGAAAACCAGTGTTTATTTGTTACCTAATAAAATCTTGGTTTTTTTTTAGTAATAATAATTTCATACGATAAAATTTTCTATCTATTTAATAAAATGAAGAACAATATACTGACATGATAGATAGCATATATTACTCTAAATGCACTAAAAAAACAGTTCAACTCAAAAAAGACCATATCAGAGTTATCTAATAGCCTTGTATATCGCTAAAAAAAATTCTTACAGCAATGATTTGTTTGGTGATGACATATTTTGTTGACAGCGCAAAACATGATATTCAGCTAGAGTATTATTCGTTTGTCGAAATTCAGCCAGTTATCTTCATGTTATGCGACAGCATTATAGAAAGGCAAAAATACCAAGACATTGCCTTCAACAACGTTTCATAATTGATTTATATTGAGAGGGAGAAAATAAAAAAATATATATAGAAGAAGCTAAAACATTTCCTTATATCAGATTCTAAGAAATTTTTTGAAAATAATACTATTTCAATTGAAAATAATTACAAACTATTTTGCCATCAAGTCAATTGCTAACATATAAAGGAACGTCAATTAAATAATTCTAATGACTGCATTTCATCGATTTATGATCTACAGATCTAGATAAGAGATGACTAAACTCAGATATGTTCATATTGAATATTCTTTGATGATATTTTCCTCAATTTTGTATTCTTATAATGAATTTCTATGTCTATGACATCAAACTTGTTTCTTAATATCCACTCTTTAACATCTATGCATCAATACTGCATTCTTAAATAAATACTACTTCTCTTCTATCTCGACATTTCTGTATTTATATTCTTAAGTCTATAGACCTATTAAGCATGCAACCTTGACAACCACTGACATTAATTACTATCATCAGTTCTATATTCTCATATCTGTACTTCTTTATATACATTTTTATTGTTTTATTCAATCTTTTATATCTCCGTAATTATAACTTTAGCTTTCAATTTTTAATTCGTTTGACTTATTCTTATTCTTATTCATTATTCTCCTTCGTTTCATAAAATATCTTTATCTACTTTCGTAAAATTATTTCACATTTTTTTTTAATGTTTATACTTTTCTTTAACATGGCCACAGACTTTTAACTATAAATAAATATCAAAACAAATATCATTGTCTTATGTATTTGATTACTTCTTTATTATTTACATTGTAATGTTTATTTCTGACAATGATAGGCTTTTGACCAATGATGTAATTTGAGACATTCGTCGAAAACTGCGAAATGTTCTATTCGAGGATGCATTAGATAAACATGTGTCAGAAAAAAAAGTGATTTTCACATATATGACTGAAGACTTCTCACGCTCGTTAGTACTTAAACAGCATCAACATCATCAAAAATTTGGATTCGATCATCAGATTGCATCAAGAAAAATTCTTGGAATTATACGAATTCTATTAGAACAAATTGTTTGTTTTTGAATACATCATTTATGAATTAATGTTTTTATTATCTAAATAAGTGTGTGCATACAATAATGAAAACGTTTATAAAACGATAAAAATAAATTATCTGTATCTTTCAATGTTTTTTTTTTCTTCTGTTTGTATCGAAGAATTAAACCTGTCATAATACTTACCCCAACAATAAATTAAAAAAGTACATGTCTTCAAATCGTTTGATGATATAATAAGTTTGAAATGTCTAGATCATATCTTTTTAGTTTAGATATCGATAATTATATAGTACCACAAAAGTCACCCTGACATTTGTACTGCATATTACTTGATTATTGATTATTAAGCTGAGTTCAACACTTTTTTCTGTTTATCTGTAGGAGACGAGTTATGAATTTTTATTCTTTAATATTCAGTTCACAATAATTCCTGAATACCTATCACTTTTGAGTACAGTTTAAAAAATATGGTAGTTTTTCTACTGTTTAAATAATTAATCTGTCTCATTACTAGTTTATTACTTTTTCATTTGATAGTTGCTGGAAATATCAACAAACTAGTATATTCGTCGACAGTGCTTTGTTCTTGTCACAGAGAAAATTTTGATAATCAGTGAAATGAATGCGTTGACCCATTTCATAATTCTTACTCGCATTAGACGTAGTATTGGTATAAGACGTTGATAGAAACATATCAAAATGAATCTTGATTGAGTAGTAGTAAAATATGTTTATTATTTACACTCAATCATACTCATATATATTGAACTTTTATTTCTCATATAACAGAAAAAAAAAGGCATATCGGATTAAATTCGATCAATAACGGTGTAATATGCATTTGAAATGTGATGATGAATTTTAAAACATTCTGTACAGTTTTGCTTTCTAGTCGTACAAAGAAAAGAATTATTCTATTAGATTGTTGTTCATATTCAGAGCAAGATCAGAATCATACATAAATACGAAAAAGAAAAAATAATTCAAACATATCTTGTCTATTAATTTAGATAACAAGAATTTTGGTTTTTCTTTTCATTACAAAAAAAAGAAGAAAGCGTAGAAAACATTTATCTGTTGTTATTAATCTTTTCATTGCTTACATACAAATGCAAATTGACGCATATCTATAGCTCCATATTATTCTATGTATCATGTTGATTACATTGGCATAAACGAGTGACAGTTGTTTTTTTCATCAAGTTTTTTTTTTTATATCTCATGCTTCTTTTAGCTTTGTATTACATCAGAAAAGGACTTTTTACTAAGTAACTTGTTCTTACTAATTGACTTTTTTAATAAAACTAAAATTTTATTTGATGCAAATACGGATCAGTGTGATTCTTTCTAGAACTAGTATATTTATATATTTATCTATCTATCTAATCAAATCAAACATAGACAGATTTAATGTGACGAATGACAAGAAAAGAATATCTTCATCTTGGATAAGAGTATTTCTTCTTTATACGTTAATCTTTTTACTTTATCGTTGGAGCCCTAGTAAAAAGTTTTATATTGATATGAAATCCTGTCATAGTAGTAATCGTTGTCGATTACCGTAGTGTTATTGTTAAAAATCAAACTATTGCAAATGGATTAACAATATGAGATGCTCCACAGTTGATTGCGATAAAAATGAATAGACCAATGGGGTAAACAGTATTTTTTCGGTAGTTGAATGTTGACCTACTAATTTTTGAAAACATGGTTACGTTCTTGAAGATAATTTCTTTACAATGAAACACAAAAATTCTGTAATAATACTACATGTATTTCGTTCATTTTGAATTTTTAGTCGTAGGAATATATCATCATCAGTACTAGAAAGCAATATTCAACTAAATAACAGCACATCTCTAATGACTATTTGTTAGATATATTAGATTTGAAATTTGAATTTCGAGTATTCAACTATTGCTAATACAGCTCTAGAGTATTTATTGAATATCTAAACTGAATGATTGACTACTTGAATACTTGAAGTAATTATTGAAGACTTGAATTCAACTTTTAAGTTTAACACTATTGAGACGTCAACAAAGTTGCAACACATGATACAGTTTGGAGCAAATATTATACAGACACTCCTTTTGGACTGTATTTTTTGTTTTCAGTCGGAATAAAGGTTCTTTTTAGTGGTCATGGACATTCATAGCTACTTTACTTTTCACGTGTACAAGATGTTTTACAATTAGAGCCAAGGCAATCATGGGTGGCCGTGTGCGCCGCAGTTTCTGCGAGTAACAAAAAGAGCATGGGTGCATTTGGAAGGTCTTTTGCTGAACTAAAACCACATCGTCTTCAAAATCAATTGATGTCATAAATATAAGGAGTGAAAATGCATTATTAGGTTCTTAATTATCTCATATATTATTCGATCGAGGTAAAGAAGAACTGTTTGATATAATTAGATTCATAGATTCATGTTAATTTTTCAGATAGAAAGGACGGTGGACGGTTTGTCTATAAATCGTTCCTAAATAAAAATTTCTTTAGAAATCAGTTCCATCTTGGAAATAATGCTTCTCTCTTCACCAAAAAACCATTCTCGATGCACATGAATGGTTTTCTTGAACATTACATAGTCCATTCTATGAGATAGCCTGCCATTCCTTTCTAGAACAGATTGCTACCTGTGCTAGTGAGATGTAGTGCTTATCATAACCACATTCTTCAATGTAAATGCAGCATATTTTCTGAGTGGACTTAGCTTTTCAAAAGCTACAAAATGATGCCAAAATATGCATGAAAATATGCTGTGTTTGATATTTTCTGAAGATCATACTGACATGATCCTATGGGCAAAGTACGAGACTTGACAGTTCTGTCCATAGGACCTCCACAGTAGCTCATAGAACGAGAGCCATTTTTTCAGGGTAGACAGAAGTTGTGAAGAGCCAAAAAATGATACCAAAATACGTATGAAAATATGGACTCCATAAGACAATCGGAAAGTTCGAATAACAAGTATGCTAGATTATCATTAATTGTCTTGTTGGCATTTGACATTAGCTTGACTTTACTGACGATCCAGCTGGAGTATCACAGATAAGAAATAAAAACTCGAGTTGTGAAAGACTTTGATTTTTGGGCTCTTTTACACTCTAGTCTAATCACTTTGTTTGTGGAAGAGGAAGTCACAAGAAATATGCAGACATATTGTCGTAAAGTTAGGATGTTGAAATAGTTATGTTATAATGCCGTAGAAAGGTTCAAACTTAAGGATTCCCCACTCTCCCCTCCCCTTCAGAAACCAACTTTGTTATTTTTCATCCGATTTCAACCAAAATTTCAGAGAATGTTAGTCTTGTCTAGAATAGATTATGGTTAAAATATCTCCCAAAATCTGCGAGCCGTTCACGAGTTATAGTCAATTCATTGGTCAAAAATGCCCTTTACGCGGGCAAGGTTTTCAATATGAGGATTCGAGCTAAGCATGTCGGGATAGTTTTTAAATTGTAGAGTACACTTAGGGCTAGATCCTAATAGAGCCCGATTTTTTAATTTCCCTTTGTTTGCTTTTTATAAGAACTTTTCCCAAAAATTCACAAATTCGTGGCCAAAAAATCGCTAATTAAAATCAAAGATCTAAGTTTTTTATTTAAACGAAGGAGAAATTCAAAAATCGGGCTCTATTAGGATATAGCCCCAAGTGTCTGCTCTATAACAAAAAAGCATTACCACTTTTATATTGAGTCGTTATTGAGTAAGGTTTGCCCGCGTAAACACTATACTCGAAAAAATGGATTTTGAGAAAAACGGAAAATAAGTTTTTAAAAACCTTATTTTTTTCAATATGAAGGCTCAGAAAATCGTATGTAATATCCTTAAATCTCATCATAAAATCAATCAACTATAGTACATTCGAGAGTAGACACTTTGCTCTATCTAACGAGTTATAAATCCAGAGGCGCAGAATCTTCCTCATGCGCCTCTGCGCGAGGGGGGAAATTTTTTGAAAAACTCAAATAATAGGGAAATTTTGGAAAAACCCGCTGGCCAAAAAAAATACAGTGGGGAAATTTTTCAAAAAACTTTTTTGCGTGGGGGGAAATTTTTGGATTTTTGGAAGATTCTGCACTTATGTATAAATCACAAAATCGATAAATTTGACCGAACTTGACTTTTCTGAGGGGGGGGGGGGGCTTAAAAATAACTTTCTTGTATAGTGGATATTAGCGATGTTCGTCGGGAATGGCTATGGATTGATTCTTCTTTGATGCAGTTTATAGGCGAGAAAATCGATAAATACAGTACATGTTAAAAACAACTGCCCTTTCATGGCACTGCCGAAAAAACAGAAATGATGCGATTCAATCCAGACGTAAGTCACCTGTAGATCTCCGATGTTCCTCCTACTACAATGTGCTAGATGTCGACGATAGACCGGGATTTTTTTCTCACGGTAGTCTATCATGCTGTATTGCATCAAAACGTCTGTATATTTTTGAGATCTGTTCGAACAGATACAGGTGATCGGGCTTCGGTACACTCTTAGAATATTAATGCGTCTACGCTTCCTGTGCTAGTCAGAGAACCTGCGTATGCTCTAGTTCCGCAATAAATCTTTCTTTTACGTATAAGCTTCTGAAAACGTTTACTTCTCAAATGACAAATGAAGCTGTATTTTGTCTCGATTTTTTTAAAATATTTCCATCCTGAACTCGAGTTTCCATCGACATTTTCCAACATATTCTACTGTTGGCGTCGGAAGTCTCTAGTGCGACCAAAAATTCAACGCCCTTAAAAACCCAGTTGTTGCACACACTCTGGTGCACCAATTGCACTACCGATACACGTGTAATATATCGTAGAATCCGATGATTTCTGTGAGACCTAACTGAATATCCGGAGTAGCCGACGAATTGTCAGTGAACTAATTTGAAAAAACTCAAGCCATCCTTTCAGGATCGTGATCCGTGCATTCTTTAATTCTGTAGAAAAGTGCAGATCAATCACGTCGATATCTATCCTACGCCTAACCCACCTGATTTCACTAAGACCATTTGCGAAAATATTTCAACACACGGTTTTCTCATCAATATTTTGCCATTCATTTTGAGTTCACAACATATTCTCACTGGTGTGAGAAAATTGCTCTGATGCTCTAATCTATTGTGCAGATCCAAGGGAGAGAGTTGCCAGACCTGGTACCTTTTTCTATAGAGTCATGGCAGTATGCTCTTCAGAAAATATCAAACACAGCATATTTTCATGCATATTTTGGCATCATTTTGTAGCTTTTGAAAAGCTAAGTCCACTCTGAAAATATGCTGCATTTACATTGAAGAATGTGGTTATGATAAGCACTACATCGCACTAGCACAGGTAGCAATCTGTTCTAGAAAGGAATGGCAGGCTATCTCATAGAATGGACTATGTAATGTTCAAGAAAACCATTCATGTGCATCGAGAATGGTTTTTTGGTGAAGAGAGAAGCATTATTTCCAAGATGGAACTGATTTCTGAAGAAATTTTTATTTAGGAACGATTTATAGACAAACCTTCCACCGTTCTTTTTTTGAATCAAGTTCATATTTTATTTATCTTACTCTAGTTCATACTTTGAAATTGGCATCAAATATATGTTTGGGAATTGAAACGATATTAACTAGAACTATATAGAATAGGTGAATGTATTTATTACTTATTGGTCTCTATAATAGATCAATATAACTGATGAATATAATTGTGAAATAACTACTGTGGCAAAGATAAGAATAACTACTAACCCTCCCCTCATATTAAAAGACCCTGGGTCTTGTATAATGTTTAAACAGAAAATTTTTTTAGGGGAGTCTTGTATTATGACTCCGTATTTTCGCGATTTTTTGGACACTCACAATTATTTTCGAAGAATTTAGTAAATGCAAGTTTAAGTTCAAGTCTTACGGCTCCTCAGTTTTTATTATAGTAATCAGATGCTGGGAAAAACATCACCCACACCCTTCCCACAGCAACAAACAATAGGAAGTAATTAATATCAACGGCTATCTTATTTTATAATCTGTAATTTCTAATTTCTCTTCTAAATATTATGCTTTTAAGTTTTGTAAAACTCACATATATTTTCGAAGGAACTAACAGTGATCGTAGGTTTGAGTCAAGATTTTTCAGCTTGTTCTCTCTTCCCCATTATATGTCGTAGCAATCATTTAGATTTAATACCCGTAAAATAAAAAAATGAAAACAAATGGTGGCTCTTAGGTAAAAAAAATTTAAAAAATGGCGTTTTCCATGATGAAAAGGATATAATCATGCATGTTTCTTATTTTCATTGATTAAAATCAAAATTTTTACCACTCTCGTTTCATGATTTTGATTTCTAATCATTTTCATTATAATGATCTTGATTAGAAATCAAAATCATGAAATGTAATTCGTGAAACTTTCATTTTAAATGATGAAAATACAAAACACGCATGATTATATCCCTTTCATTATGAGGTATGGCATTTTTTTCGTTTTTCTATTCCCTGGGAAGGTTGCGAAAAATTCTACAATCATTGCTTTTCAATAGTTCGAATATTTTTATGAGCATTCGCAAAAAGCTAGCCTCCTTTTTTACGCAGATAAAAGTTTATACGATCCATTTGAAAGATAATCTTTTGTGATTTTTCATAACGGTAGTATAAGTTATATAAAATCGTGATCAAACTACTTTCTAACTTTTAGAAATATTTATTTTGTGTCTTATTCAGTACATTAGTATGCATACAAGATTGTTAGAATATGGCGAAGATAGAACCAATGTCTATACTAAGATTATTTAATCATTAAATTAGAGCCTGAATGGAATAATACGAAATAATGATAATATCGATTAACAGAAGAATAACACATTGCGAATGGCAACAGGAAAAGAAACGCATTAGAGAAAAAATATGTTTGAAGTGTACGAATAGAAACTGCTAGAAATTAATCATTATGACCAATGTTTTTTTTTTTGAAGTTCAACATTCTGCGTCGTTTGTCTTAATATTATAAATATATTCAGGAAATCTGATAACTGGAATGAAGGAGAGATAGGAATTCGAAATGAAATAGTTTCTTCAGAATAATGTTTTACAGCGTATGCTGTAACTCAAACGATAGAATTAATTGTAATCTATCCATTTATTTGATATGTTTTGAAAATAAACTTTTTCACTCATTTTTGAGAATATAATATAGATTTGTAGCAGTCTGAGTCTATTGAGTACTACATTTTGGCTCTATAGTGACTACATTGATAAGTATTTGTAATTAAAAAAGTCCTCGGAGAGAATCGAAGCTATTTTGAAAATTGGAGAAGGAATTTTCACGATTTTCAAAGCTGAAATATAGAGTTTAACTCATCAATTTGAAAATTCTCAGCTGAAAACCTCCAGAAATAGACACGTTTCGGGGTAAAACATTAATAAAAATCCTCAATTTAAAAAACAAAATCTTAAATAAATAGGGGGGTCTTCTATTATGTGGGACACGATTTTTTCCCAAAGGGGTCTTCTATTATGGGGGGGGGGGGTTACAGTGAAAAGAGATCCTATTCCATTCTCATGTCTCTCTCGAAGGTTGAGAGTGTTACAGCGAGTGTTGTCACGAGAAAAGAGTATCATCGCAAAAACTCCACATTCCACATTATTTCGATCTCGATAGATTAAATTTTTATTTAGTTCAAAAAAATATGCATAAATGGTTATACAAAAGTAGCGATAAAAATAAAATTCTCCATAAAGAAAAACTTCTTTTTATCTATAATACAAAATATCCCACGCAATAAGTTTGTCAACATGTTGATTGAATCGGATTAATAAAAGTGACTGCACCCATAGTAACTGTTTTTCCTGGAAGTACTGGACTATCACCAGGTGTTCTATATGATAATTCTGATTGTGCATTTGAGTTGGAATTCCAATAGTCATCATCATTTTCTTGAACAAATCTTTTTGGCACTGTTACTGCACTGGAAGCACGTGTTCGTAAATGAACAATTTCAAACACAAAATTTCGGTAAGTTCGTGCATTTTTTGATAAATGAAGTAAAAGAATATCACAAACAATTGTTCCTAAACCAAAGAGTCCGACTAATGAACCAATATTTAAAGTTAATGTAATAAAATCAAATTTTCCAGCTTTACCACTAATAGACATTATTAGACGAAGACCATAAGCTTTTGTTAATGAACGAAAATATTTCCTATTATGTTTCCAATAAGAAGCATAACGAAAATTAAAACCCATTGAAAATGGTTTTTCATAAAAAGGTACATCAAGACGAGCAAATGAATATTGAGGTTTACATAATTTTATATTTCGATCTAAATTGCAATCCCAATCAATCTTAATACTTATAACACCACCATAACGTAACATTAAATTACGTTCAGTTGTATTTTTTTCCGCTTCACTCATTATATAATCAATACTAAATATCGGACAATCTTTCTGATATTCTGGATGAAAAATACATGGTTTTTTTAAACTATCAACCATATTTTTATGCTTAATCTGAAACATTGGAAATTCAATGAAATTTTTAATAAATATTGTAAAATCAAGAACTCCTTGAACAAGCTTTGTCGATGTAAGATCATCTTCTGATGGGCACCAACCTAAAAAAAAATATTTTAATAATTAGTAACATAGGATATAAAAATTAATAGTACAAAATGTCGACACTTATACTCGGTCATAGACCAGGCTCTGAAAAGAAAATTTTTTCTCTCTTTTTAACTGTACAAAGTTTCATTTTGTCGTCTAATATGAGATCATAATTATGAGAAATTATTTTATACAATTTGCTACAATTTTTTCTGCATCTTGTTTTCTTGAACTTTATTATCCATTTTTAGAACTTTTCTACATTTTCTCATAACTACTGATGTTCTTCGATGTAGATTATGGTTAATCGTTGGTTAATTAATATTGAAACATTTGACCAATTTACGCTGACTAATACAACAACGATTATTAAGATAATTCACTAGCTGTTTTAATTTTTGATTGAAAAATTTTCATGAACGAGTGCTTCTTGGTAAAAAGTTTGTTTGTTCATATTCAAAATATTTATTCAATATATAATAAATTGCTTTTCTTGCAAAAGCCTTATTTTATAAAATAATTGAAAGTCGTTTTACAAGCTTTATTTGATGAGTTGATATAGAAATTGTAAATTCATTGAACAAAAGCTTTTTTTCTTGACGTGTCATTCTCTTTGTGAATGTTCGACGAAAACAAATTGTATGCACTTAGAAAGAGGGGAAATTTCCTATTGAATGGTAGAAACATTGTTTCAAGTGCCGTTTTTATGAGAAAATATACGGATTAATATTCTGTGCCATTACTCTGACATCGTACATTAAAAAAACCTAATTAAAGTGTTATTTAACAGATATTCGATTAATGATCTTATAATAGTCAGTCAGTAGCTTCTCACGAATAAATCTTCTCTATTTATACTCATTTAATCGTTGCATAGAGATAACATTGTTTTCTTAGTCAAGGGCAAAGATTGTCAGTTTTTGCAACGAAACTAATGGTTAGGATTGAAATTCGAGCAACAACTAGTGGCGGAGCCAGGGGTGGGCTGGGGGAGCTCAGCCCCCCTCCAGAAACCTTTGGGCCCCTCCCAGAAAAATTTTTAAACCATGTATTTTATTTGCCAACCGGAGCTCAAAGGTTCCTCGGAGGGGGCTGCTCAGCCCCCCCCCCCCCCCAGCTCAAAATCCTGGCTCCGCCACTAGCAACAACTTTAATATTCGTCAAATATAACAGATAAAGGCTAATAAGTTCCACCATTGACACAAAAGTCAGCAGAAACAGTTTGGATTAAGTACTATAGCGAAGAATAATAGCGGATAAGATGTAGATTGGGCCTACAGAATACTTTCAGTTACTTTACTAGTAATTCTACATAGAAAAATATGGCGATTCTTTTAATAAATAAATTTATACAAAGTTATTAGAATTGGACGTTACATTTGCAATAGAATACCCACATATAGTCAGTGAGGTTTTATTGAACTTCTACTTGCTCAGCATTAGCTCGATATGCACAATATCTTGGCAACATTTCCAGCTTATTCTGTATTAGTTAGGTAGTCATTTAATGCTGTTTCATTTGACGTAAAAACTATTATAATAGTTGTTACATGACACGAGACAAAATTAATGTCTCTTTCTCATTGATACATAGTAAGCTTGAACCGTTGCGAAAATATCGTGCGTATCGGACTAATGCTGTGGGAGTAGAAGTCCATCGAAACTTCACTGACTATTGACACATTCTACTTCTAATGTAACGTATAATCGTAACAATTTTCTATAAATTTATTTATTAGAAGAATCACTATATTTTTCCGAAAAGAATCACCAGTAAAGTAGCCGACAGTATTCTGTAAGTCAAATCAACATCACATGTGCATTTATCCTACGTTTAACTGTTTACACTATATCTAAATAACAGAGGACATTCATATTTCCAAACTTTGAAATCCTAACACTTTTCATTCTTCTAACAAATATCTAGTTGATCTTATAAGAACTCCTATTCATAGCAACGATAAGATTTTATATGATTAGAATCATCTATTGTTCAAAGATACGATCTTGATATGTATCATATGTCATATGGAGTATTCAGTAAATAAGTCATTCACGTGACTGATACTCATATACTGAATGTCTTCTAAGATATTGTTACAATAAAAAAAATATTAAACATAAAACGGAAGCAATATTTGATTTACTTTTTAAATGTAAATATCAAACTATTTCGTTAATATACGAAAATTCCTTGTTAACTTTTTGCTATCTAACCGCAAAATGTCTACCTGCATATTCACATAAACCCGTTCTAGTTTTTGTAATATTTGTTGTCTCATTGCCAATATCTTTTTCTGGTGATAATAAACATCGACCTGTCCAACGTCCATTCATATTTGGTGTGAATGATTTATTGAAACATTGACTATCATTGTGACAGATTGCTTCTTTAACTTTTATATTTTCAGCACATTTAGTTCGTGTTTGATCAGTTTGAACAAAATTTGACATTATAAATATAGCATTATTTTCTGATGGTGGAATAATATAATCTATTAAAATAAAATAAACATTCGATTCTCAATAAAATTGTTTGTTGTTTTCGAGATACCTGCTCCATCAATAATCAGTGTTTTATTTTCTAGCGTATGAGCATAACCAATGCCTTTTACTTTAAGTGTTACCGATGATGTGATTGTTGTACTTTGTTTTTGATAACCTTTTTCATATATAAGTAAATAAATTGTAGAATAAATAAGAACAATGATTTGTATAATGCGAAGTATACCAGCATATTTTGCACTATGTATTGAAACTAATTTTGGTGTTTCATATTCAGTAAAATAACCCATAAGAAGTTTTTTCAAACCTTTCACAATACGATAACGAGCTTTGGAAGATGAATTTGAATTCATTTTCTAAAATAAAATGTGTTATATATATATATATATTCTAGAATAGAATAAACAATAATAATAGTCGATATTGTACGAGAAACAAAATATGATATATTAAGCACACTGGTTATTTGTTCCCTAATAATATTGTTGTTTCTTTTTTCTATAATAATAATTATTTGAATGGATAAATTTTTATATTAATTAAATAAAATAGAAAAAATGCGGTGATTCTATAAGAAGGAGATGCTCCTCGAGATGCAGTAAGAGTTCAACTGAAAAAAAAGCTGTGTGCGTTATCTTATAGTGTTGTACATCGCTCCAAAAAGTCTTACAGCTATGAGTTGTCGGCATATGACATATAATATTGACAGCGCCAAACATTATACTCAACTCTGGTAGTATTTGTTGATAAAAATTCAGTCAGTTGTCTCATGACTTGTGTGATGGCATAATATAACGTCAAAAAGACTATCTATGCATTGCCTACATTAACTCAGAGAAAGAAAATAAAAATAACATATACAAGGAGTAAAAACATTTCCTTATGTTATATTCTCAGAAATTTTTGGCAAATAATGTCATACTTATTGAAAACAATTCTGAACTATTTTTCCATCAAACTACATGCTTCTATATTAAAGGCATGTCAATAAAATAATTCTATGACTGTATTTCATTGATCTCTTATCTGTAGATCTAGATGTGAAATGACCAAACTCAGATGTGTTCATATCAAATATTGTTTGATCATATTTTCCTGAATAGTAATTTTTGATTGAACTGCCAAGTCTATAGCAACAAACTTGGGTCTTCATATCTACTCTGTAACATCTATGCATCAATACTACATTTTTCAATATTACTGTTTTTCTTCTATCTTCATACTCCTATATTTATATTCTTAAGTCTCTACAGTTATAAAGTATTCGACCTTGACAACAATTGTCATCAAGGTCTATCTTTAGTTTTATATCCTCATATCTGAATTTTTTTACATATATATATTCGTTTGGTCAATTTTTTACATCTCTATCATTATGTCCTTAGCTTGCTATTTATAATCAGTATTATTTATTCTTATTTATTTTATGGTTATCTTCTTATATTTATATCGAAATACTTCTTCATTCGGCTTCTTTGTTTTACTAAATAACTTTATGTTAGTACTTCCGTAAAATTATTTCGCATGTTTTTTAATGTTTATGTTTTTATCCGTATCCCCACAGACCTTTAACAATAAAGAAATACCAAAACAAGTATAGTTGTCTTATTTATTTGATTACTCATTGATTGTCTGCACTACTATGTTTCTTTCTGACAATGACGTTTTTTGACCAAGGACGTAACCTGAAATATTCATCGATAGATAAAAGATGTTTTGTTTGACAGTATATCAAAAAAGCATATGTCACAACGAAAAAGATTTTCACATGTATGACCTAATGCTTCTTAATTCTATTAATACTTAAAAAACATGAAAACAATCAAAAGTTTGGATTCGATTATCCGATTGCATGAAAAACTCTAAGAATTATTTTGAATTTTATGCAGGGAATTCTTTTAAACACATCTTCGATGAATGAATGTTTATATCAATTAAATTGATGTATGTCTACGTCAATGGAAACGTTTATAAAACAATTAAAACAAATTCTCTTGATCTTTCAATACTCTTTTCTTTTTTTTCTATTGAAGACTTAAAACTGTAGTAATGCTTACTTCAGCAATATATTAAACGAACACATGTCTTCACATCGTTTGATTATTTGATAAGTTCGACATGTTTTTATAATATCTTTTTAGTTTACATATCGATTATTACCTACTGTCCCAAAGGCATCATGATGCTTCAAATACATATTACTTCATTATTGATTATTAACCTTAATTCAACATTTCCCTCCTTTTTATTGTTTATAAGAGAAGAGTTATGAATTGATATTTTTAAATTTTGGAATGTTTATCACTTCTGACTACAAACCTAAAAATGATAGTATGTTTTTTTCCACTTTTCTCAACCAATATAAAGCATCTTTTTTAATGTTTGCTTCAATTGATAGGATTCTTATGGAGTTTAAATCATTAACGTGTCTCGTTGCTTTATTAGCATTTATTCAACTGTCTGTGAAAAGATCAACACACTAGTGTGTTATCCAAAAGCGTGTTATTCTGCTCACAGAAAAAACTTTGATAAGCGGTGAACGAGTGTGCTGATCTATTTCATGATTCTTGCTTTTGTTAGATGTAGTATCCATGTATTAAATCTGTAAAAATATATCAAAATGAAATCTAATCAAATAGTCGTAAGACATGTTAATGATTTAAACTTAATCATAACAATATAAATTGAACTTTTCTTTTGCAGATAGCAAAAAAAAAGAAGACTTATTACATTAAGTTTGATCAATAATGATGTAATATGTATTGGAAATGGGATTATGATTTTTAAAACATGTTGTAACGTATTGGCTTGTAGTCGGATCAAAGAAAGAATTTGTCTGTTACATTGTTGAGTATGTGGCGAAACATGAATAAATATCTTTCTGAGGAAAAGCCTTGTACATAAATAAGAAGAAAAAAATATCTCAAACATATCTCTCTATTAGTTAAGATAACAAGAACTTCGTTGTTTTTCATTAAAGAAAAACAAGAAAACACAAAAAAAATTGATCTGTAGTTATTAACCTTTTCATTGATTACATACAAACGCAAATTGACACATATCTACATTTCAATAGTATTCTACATATCATAAATAACATGGGCATAGATGAGTGACAGTTGTCTTTTGCTATCATCTATTGAGATATAGTATTCTTCTTTTAGCTTCCTATTCCTTCCTAAAAAAGACTATTTACTAAATAACTTGTTTTTACTAATTGGCTTTTTGAAAAAAATAAAGTTTTATTTGATGATAAAAATAATCAGTCTAATTCTTTATAGAATAAAATAGTATATCTACACTATTTGCAGAAAGTATTTCACACACTTGAATATTAGGTCTTATGAAGTTTAAACGTCTGAAGACTGTTCTGCAGATAGTCAACAGATAATGTAGGTCATCGGTAACATCAGCACCAAAATCGCTCAAGCTAGTACGGAGTTATAATAACAGTGCAAAAATTCTGGCACAAATGTTGATTCATCTGTCCTCGGCTAAAACATAAGTGAACAAACTCGCAAATATTTATACAGTATCTACGCCAAAAACTTTTTAAACTGTATGTTTAGAAAAATTCTATTATGCCTGATCTTTCCGTAAGAAGTACGTCTTTAAACAGCACTAAAGTGTCTACTGTAGACGAAAACGAATGCTGCAGAAGGTACCGATCCCACTGTATTTTACGAGTTTCTTTGGTTCATGTATTTTGGATCATTCGTAGTCATCATTTCAACTGGTTTTAGTCAAAAATGGCATCACTTATATCTTGAAAACTTTTCTCTGCTTATTATCGTTTTCACATTCAGTTTCAATATATTTGTTGCATCATTGTTTTTCAAATTGTCGATCACATCACCTAATCCAATACAAAACAACTTTCTAACGTGTGTGCCATAATAAACTGGACAAAATGTTGATGCATATTTCTCCTACCATGTCGACAGATAAAAAGTTTCTTTATGTACCAAGAGATAGAGAATTTCAAGCTTTACAAAACTGTGGGCTTTGTTTCTTAAAAACGTTTTTCCTGTCAAAGCAAAATTTCAAAGATAAATATCTACTTAGTAGTCTAACTGCGACAGTCAAAAAAAGCGAAAAAAAAAGAGGAAATGTATTAAATAAAAGTGCCACGAAAATTGCAATTATCTCACATGACTCTCTGTAAAATTCTGCATCTTTGAATGTATGTTTGGGATTTCTAAAAGAAATATTTGATGAAAGCAGTTTTAAGAAAAAAAAAGTAAGAAAAAATCGAAAGAGTCCTTTTCTGGTAGACTAGGGGTACTACAAACCCAAAGCCTTGGGATTTGGTACAAAAAGATTTGGGTTTGTTCTAGACTGGGATTTGGATTTGGGTTTGGGTTTGGTCCTAAGTTACCCAAATATGACGAGGCTTTGTAAAATAAAGTCCCAGAAGGGAGAAAAGAATCCCAAGTCTTATAAATTAATATGAAATGGATTGGATTTAGATCTTCGATTTGGATTTGAGATTTGATGTATAGCAGGTTGGGATTTGGGTAGGATTTGGGATTTGGATTTGGAGGTTGAGATTTGGTTTCAATTTAACAAGACTACAAAGTTGGAGTCATGTTAGATTGAAACCAAATCCCAAGTCCAAATCCAAATCCAAATCCCAAATTTCAAGCATATCACCAATTCTGAATTCCAAACATTAGCCAAACAAAGCGATAGCAGTAATCTTGAGATTCAAATCTAGATGAAATCCACATCTAGGAACTAAATTCGAACCATACCCAAATCCAGAAACCAAATCCAAATCCAAGTCCAAATCTCAAAGATTTGGTGCCAAATCCCAAATCTATCCAAGATTTGTTGCACCCCTATGGTAGACCAATGTTAGTGTTATTTTTTTTTATTCGAAACAAGCAAAATGTTTCTATCGTTCAATTTCAAACTTACGCCGTTTTGCTCAGAATTAAATTTTACATCTAATGGCATAATAATAAATCTTTTATAGAATGAGTCTGGGTTTTGAAAACAAGATTTTTCAAAGTGCTTTGAAAAATAGCGACTATTATCAATTTCTAGTACTTTTCTCCGAAACACTAGTGTCGGGAATATTGAAAATGACGTGGAAGTATAGAGGAGGAAATTCTTTATCAAGCTTTGTTCAATAATTTACTTTAGCCATCGTTGTTCATGAACAAAGACTTATACAAATTCATAAGCGTCAGCAGAAAATAAGAAATCGCAGTTAGACGATGAATTACACGTTCATCTTTGAAATTTTGCACCGATATTGAAAAAGTTTTTGGAAAATAACGTCAAAAAATTTGTAGAGCTTAAAATTCTCTAACTTTTGGCATACAAAGAAACTTTCTGTCTGTCAACGAAGTAGGAAAAAATGCATCAACATTTTGTCCAGTTTATTGTGGCACATCCGTTAGCAAGTTTATAGAAAATTGGACAGTGCATATGACCGAAAAGTGATCATCGACATACAAATCATCGCATTAGATCGAGTAAAAAAATGCAGAGAGATTCTTTTTTTTCTGTGTCCACTACTTTGAGCTGTTTGTACAAGCCACATTTCAGTGCTATTGAAAGACTTGCTCGTTGTTAGTGAAAGACAAGACATGATAGAACATTTCTGTATCTACAGTTAGAATGAGTTTTTGCTGTAGATTCTGTACAAGTATTTTCGAATTTGTTTACACATGTTTGAGCTGATATTAAATAACAGATATTTATGCAGTAGCTTTTGAATCGACCGTTAGGTGATGTCTACGATCACTGTAGATCTGGTAACTCGAGAACAGATAAACTTTTTGAGTCGTCCAATCGTGAATTTTGTAGCTCTGCATTACGGCTATTTATGGTTTAAATTTTATCGAAGTTCATTATACTATTGACGAACTAGACCATTGTGACTGAAAATATGAGCATGCAACAAAATATGATAGAATGCCATTGAACGATCAATAAATCAGTGATAGTTTAATGAATCAATATGAACGTTTCAAAAGATGTTTCATCATATCTGGCCATCTTTTTTCTGAAAGCTTGTAAGACGAAAAATTTACTAAACAAAAGTGGGCACACCGATGACTATTGCGAATTTGTGAAGACACTTGAGTCTCCATTACTAAAGCAACACAGAAGTCATCAGTGCGCCATTTGCGTTTAGTAAAGTGCTTGCTTTTAAAGCTTTCAGAAAGCAATGTCTAGCTATGGTAAAACGTTTTCTGAAAATTTCACGTTGATTCATCACATTATCAGTGAGTTATGGCCCATTCCATTGCATTTTATGCTTTTTTTTTCATATCCATGTTGTCCGTAAAAATCGTCTAGGTCATTCGGCTGAGGGGCTTTCTTCATTCAAGCACTTGGATTACTGTCTAATGATGAAGCTAGGCTAAAAAATATTATTGTCACGATTCGTCTCAAGATCTGTCAGAGAACAACACTTGTGACATGATTAGTTAGCCTACATCCTCTATTTACTGATTCCAGTGTACAAAGCTTAGCCATCTATATTAAATGCTTCTAAAACTTGTATATCATTGCTAATACTACGGAATCTCATCTATTTCTCAAATAGTAATGGAAGATCTTAGAACGATCTTTACTACACTTAATGAGAAAAATGTGCAAAGGCGCTTTCCAAGTCTTAGGATGGATTTCTGCTATTGGAATAATCATAACTGAACGTACAAGGTCGAATTGACAAGAGAGAACAGAACCGATTTTCTGCCATCACATATCAAAAGCATTTCTGCTACACGTAGATGTGCTAGACCAAGCATTTAAATTCATGCTGACGCATAGAATTTTGGATTCCATAGTAGTATGAACTGAAGAAGAGTTTTTATAATACATTTTATTTCGGGAAAGTTTATGGGTAGTCGATTATAGGTCATACTGACAAAAAAAGAAGACAAAAATAATAGGGAGAGAAGAGAAGAAGAAAAAACAAAAACAACGTGATTTGAGAATAGGAGTCGAAGTCTAGGAGAGATAATTACAAGAGGAAAGAAAGAAAAGATACATATATAAGTATTATTCATCTCTCTGAAGCATGATAGTGCCACAATCAGTTGACTGATATTGTTATTTTTCTTTCTTCATATTATATTTGTTGCTTCACTGTTCTGTTTCTTTTTTTCCTCTTGTTTTATTGTAATTCAGTCAAATATTGGTATCTATGGTCTTAGAGCTCAATTGTTCCTTTAGGACCGACATCGTCATACAGATACCAAATGCTAATTAAAAAAAGGTGTCTTTATCTTGAATAATGATGTTTATTCGTTTAATACTGATTTTTTATTATTTTTGATTGCCTAGCTGAAAATTCTACTTCAATATTGAAAATGATGCCATAGCAATCGTTGTCAATAATCTTATTATTATTAGTCAAAAAATAACACAATTTGTTTCACTAACAGTTAATGAACTCGAGTCGTAATCATAATTCTTCAGGTGGTTGAGCGCGTCTCACTATTTTTTGAATACATTTTTATGTTCATGAAGATTATTTCTTTATAATCACAATGCAAGCTTGAAAGTTAAATTGCAAATATTCAAGTGTTCCTGATATACACAGAAAGCAATTCTTAAATACTCGAATTGAATAGTTGAATACTTGAACTCAACTTTCAAGTTTGTCATTAATGCTAATTAGTTGAAGAGGCCTATTCCGTTTTCCATTCGATTCATTTACGGTCTTTTGTTATTCGTTTTCTTGTTGCAAATATGGGCAGCAGTCATTAAAGCATAGATGAGGATTGTTATTGCGACAAGAATGGACCATTTATTCATCATATCTTTGTCGCATTCTTAGAATATATCGATTGATCTTATCAAATGGAATATCATAAGATCAAACTGATCGCTTTCACTATTAAAAAAAAGCGTGTCGCAAAGGGAACAGAATACTTTTTTGTCAAGCTATGTCCTCAGTATAAATGTGGCTGATACAGAATTACTCGAATTAATGCTAAAAATTACGCATTTAGCAGATACTGGTGATAACGTGGTATTGTCAGAAAGAAAATCTCGAGAACAGTGAAAAAGTTGTTGTAGTCGATGTACAGCCAAAAATTAGATTGAGATATGTAACGCTTCGTCTAACACTGGTAAAATTATCTGACAGCTGTTTCTATAATGATATAGAACTTCTTGTCCATTATGCAATCGCTTGAATGAAGCAATATCAAGTTAAACTGCCCAATTTACATCCACTGGATTTACCTCACTGTCGACTAAGATCGATAGTTTTCTTTTCTTTTCTTGCAAGGACTATCAACACCAGGAACTGTGAGAGTTACTGTTCTGTCAAAAGCTAATGACCAGAATTCTCGAATCATAATCAAGAGACCAATGCTAAATCCAAAGGTGTCTACACGTCAGGAAAGTAGGTGAGCGACTATGATGACATCACTTTTTATTATTCCATTGCTAATGCTTGATAGAAATCTTGAAATTAAAATTGAAATATAGAAGCTTTGTTGAAATCTAGTGTTCTTAGACACTTATTGAGAGATGTATGAAGAAAACTGCATGCAATATATCGAAGGAGAGCATTATTTGATTTATACATTTCCTCAAATCTGTTATTGTTATCTAGTTGTCGCCCATCATCTTGAAGCTTTTTCTGATGCTTATTCGCCAACTTTCTATTCACTTCTAAGTTATCAACATTAGTTGATAGACATGATGAAAATATAATTGACGATTAGCACATCAAGCAGAACTTCAATAGTCTAAGAATTACGATAGTATATCCAATACTAAGACCAATAATAGGATAAATTACTCATTCAGTTGTTATACAGAATGTTGTGCAGTGCTGTCTACATACATGTATCTATTTGCATTAGTGCGATTTTGCATGTCAATGTATTTGCTACTATCTTGCCTAGTATATAAACAGAAAGTTTCAAGCTATTCTTCGTAGCATCGTATATGAAAGTGCAGATATTTTGGGGGTTATATTGTGTCTATCTTTACACCAGCAATAGATTAAATGCAAACAGGACGACGTATTTATCAGCAGATGACCAAATATAAATCGTACAACCCACTAGATCAGATAAGATAACTATATAGATGCAACAATTGATTAAATGTGTGGTAAAGAACAAGAGGTCTGCAGAAGGCATCAGGTAAATTATAACACAACTACGTTCAGATCTGAATGGCATTAGCCAAACAAAGCTATCGTTTTTGCTGATTGGTAAACATTTAATTTATTTCAAATAGAACTTGTTTCGTTTCTTCATCTATTAGTAAAGATATGAATGAGAACCACCGTGGAAAGAGAATCTATTTCATTCTCATTTGTCTTTTGAAGATTGAGCGTCTTAAGGCGAGCGTTGACACGAGAGAAGAATATACTCACAAAAAATCCACACTTATATACATGAAATTTTTAAGCAATCAATTCGTATGACAAAGATGCAATACATTGTTTCACAAATCAATTTACTATTAAATAAAATTGCCTACTTTAACAGGTTAAGCCTTTATTTACTTCAAAGAAAAAATATATATATATAGATTTTTATCAAAAAACAATGGGTAAAAACAGAAGTCTCTACAAAGAACATCTTTATTATATATAATGTCAAATATCCCACTCGAAAAACAAAATTGTCAACATGTTGATTGAATCGGATTGATAAAAGTGACTTCACCGATAGTAACTGTTTTTCCTGGAGATGCTGGTCTACCATCAGGCATTCCATGTGATGATTCTGCTTCTATATTTGAGTCGCAATTAGAATGTACATTAACATTTGTCTGAGCAAAATGTTTTGGCACTGCTACTGTACTGGAAGCACGTGTCCGTAAATGAACAATTTCAAACACAAAATTACGATAAGTACGTGCATTTTTCGATACATGAAGTAGAACAATGTTACACACAAATGTTGCTAAACCAAAGAGTCCAACTAATGAACCAGTATTTAAAGTTAATTTAATGAAATTAAATTTTCCAGCTTTACCACTAATAGAAATTACTAAACGAAGACCATAAGCTTTTGTTAATGTACGAACATGTTTCTGTTTATATTTCCAATGAGAAGCATAACGAAAATTAAAACCCTTTGAAAATGGTTTTTCATGAAAAGGTACATCAAGACGAGCAAATGAATATTCAGGTTTACATAATTTTATATTTCGATCTAGATTACAATCCCAATCAATTTTAATACGTATTATACCACCATATTGTAACATTAAATTACGTTCTTTAATATTTTTTTCTGCTTCATTCAATATATAATCAATACTAAACATGGGACAATCTTCATGATATTTTGGATGAAATATACATGGTTTTTTTAAATTATCAACCATATTTTTATGTTTAACATCGAACACTGGAAATTCAATAAAATTTTTTATAAATATTGTAAAAGTTAGAGCTTCTTGAAGAGGCATTGTAGTTGAAAGATCATCTTCTGGTGGACACCAACCTAAAAAAAATATCTTATTAGTAATACAGAATGTAAAGTTAATAGTATAAAATGTCGACACTTATATTTATTCATAGACACGGCTCTGAAATGAAAATTTTTTCACCATTCAATACAGAACCTTTTTCTCTCTCTAACTGTATACAATTACGTTCCATCGTTTAAGTTAACATCGTAATTACGAGAAATCATTTCATACAATTTGCTACAATTTTTTTGCACCTTGTTTTCTTGAACTATTTTATCCATTTTTGGAACTTTTCTACATTTTCTCATAACTACTGATGTTCTTCGATGTAGATTATGGTTAATCGTTGGTTAATCAATATTGAAACATTTGACCACTTTACGCTGACTACTACAACAACGTTTATTAAGATAATTCACTAGCTGTTTTAATTTTTGATTGAAAAATTTTCATGAACGAGTGCTTCTTGGTAAAAAGTTTGTTTGTTCATATTCAAAATATTTATTCAATATATAATAAATTGCTTTTCTTGCAAAAGCCTTATTTTATAAAATAATTGAAAGTCGTTTTACAAGATTTATTTGATAAGTTGATATAGAAATTGTAAATTCGTTGAACAAATGCTTCTGTTTCTTGAAGTGCCATTTTCTCTATGAAGGTTCGATGAAAACAACTTATATACAGATAGAAACAAAAAAAAAGTTTCCTATCACCTGATAAAAAAAAATTATGACTCTCACACGTTTTAAAGAAAAGGTATCAAGTATTGACATTTTGTGCCGTTATTTTCAAACATATGAAAAGTACGGAATTATTTTTAGGTTGCCGGCTTTTCTTCTCTTTTGGTTTTACTTAAAAGTATCTGGCAAAAGTAATATATTTAGGTCTAATCAAAAGTTACGGCAACGTTCCTGGCAATTTTATAACGTAGTTAGCACTTAAAAAGTTGTTGCATGCATCAATAGTAGACTGTCTTGTCTATATTAATATGCCTAATAACTTCATTTTTAGTTTAGCTTCAATATTCTTTCAGATAAAATCTAATTACAACGAAGAAAGTTTAGAAATAGTTAGTGAATTCGATTAATACTATATTATAATTCGAACTATTTTTGGAATTGATCCAGAGACAATTCTCGAGCAACTTATGACAGCAATCATACCTAATGGTACATTATAACGAACAGTTGCAAGTTAGTCAAAGCGTTTTCGCCAAGAAAGAGAACATATCAATCATTACCCGTACTCTGTTTGTCTAGTTTCGGAGCTACCAAATGAAAAAATATTGAACCGGTATGGGAGGTTATCAGCAATGACCGATATTCAACCAATGATGATCTTGTGATTCAGACTTCTCTCTTTTATGATGCAATAGAACGAATTCTTCATGATTGTCTAAAGATGAGAAAAACAACATCATTGAGAATGGCTTATCTACTCAATGAAGAGCAAAAGTAAGAACGACTTAGAGTTTGTCGTGAAAATCTGGCAAAGTTTCTTGATGGATCATGTTGATTATGTGATCTTATTATACTATCACGGACAAAATTAACGCAACACATATTTTTGATAGATATTTTCATTAATGGTCAACCACGAAAAATACAAGTTTTTCAGAAATTTTTTTCGTTTATAGAACTTTGTAGAGATCGTTTCGCTGATCATTTTGGCAAAAAAAAATATTCAAATTTACTCAATAAATAATGATATTAGAGTCAAAATACTAAAAACTTAAGACTGTTCGTGACCACTGCTGAGTAGAAGGTGATATTTTTGAGTATTCTGAGCCAAGGTTCGTTATTTATCGAGTAAATTTGAATACTTTTTTTACCAAAATGATCAACGAAACCAGCTCTACAAAGTTCTATAGACGAAAAAAGTTTCTCAAAAACTTATATTTTTCGTGGTCGACTGTTGATGAAAATATCTATCAAAAATACGTGTTGTATTAATTTTGTCCGTGGTAGATAGATAAAACGACTTAGATTTCTCATAGATAGGTTGAACGCAAGTCAACTGACGTAAGCTAAATTTAAGAAGAAATTTTGCGTAAATTTATTTATTAGAAAATTGCTACATTGTTTCACATAGAGTCACCAATGAAGTAGCCGACAATATTCTGTAGATCAAATCGACATCACATGCGGCCTTATCCTATGTCTAACTATTTCAACTCTACCTAAACAAGAGAGGACATTCATATTTCCAAATTTCGATATCATAACGCTTAACGTTCTCCAAACAAATATCTAGATGATTTTATAAGGTTAGAAACATATATCCTTTGATGATACGATCTTAGCATGTAAACATATGTCATGGGGGTATTCGGTAAATTAATCATGTACATGAGTGACACTTTTATACAGAATGTCCTGTGAAATATTGTTTCAATAATAAAAATCTCAAACATAAAACTAAAGTAATACTTCATTCGTTTTTTATATGTAAATATCAAACGATTGCGTTAGTATACAAAAAGTTCTCTGGTAACTTTTACAATGTAAAAATAAAACGTCTACCTGCATATTCACATAAACCCGTTCTAGTTATTGTAATATTTGTTGTCTCATTGCCAATATCTTTTTCTGATGATAATAAACATCGACCTGTCCAACGTCCATTCATATTTGGTGTGAATGATTTATTGAAACATTGACTATCATTGTGACAAATTGCTTCTTTGAGTTTTTCACTTTCAGCACATGTAGATCGTGTTTGATCGGTTTGAATAAAATTTGTCATTATAAATATAGCATTATTTTCTAATGGTGGAATAATATAATCTATTAAAATAAAATAAACATTCGATTCTCAATAAAATTTTTTGTTGTTTTCGAAATACCTGCTCCATCAATAATCAGTGTTTTATTTTCTGACGTATTGACATAACCAATACCCTTTACTTTAAGTGCTACTGATGATGTAATTGTTGTACTTTGTTTTTGATAAGCTTTTTCATATATAAGTAAATATATTGTAGAATAAATAAGAATAATGATTTGTATAATGCGAAGTAGACCAGCGTATTTGACACTATGTATTGAAACTAATTTTGGTGTTTCATATTCAGTAAAATATCCCATAAACATATTTTTCACATATTTCCCAACATGATAACGAGCTTTGAAAGATGAATTTGAATTCATGTTTTACAATAAAATGCAGTATATATATATATTCTAGAAGAGAATTAATAATAAGATTTGATCATTTACACAAGAGAAAAACATTGATATGTTAAAAACACTGTTTATTCACGTAATCATCTCTTTGTGTTTTTTTACAATAATAATCATTTCAATGGATAGATTTCTACATATGTAATAAAATAGTGAAAAATGACTGATATTATGAATGACATATAATACTCTAAATGCACTAAAACCAACTCAACTCAAAAAAGGTTGTATGACTTGGCTTATAGCCTTGTATGTTAATCCAAAAAACCCTTACACTAATGAATGGTTAGCAAATGACATGTGTTATTGACAGCACCACGCATTACATACAATTCTAGTATTATTCGTTTGTTGAAATTCAGACAGTCATCTCCCTGACCTGTGATGGAATAATAGAAAGGCAAAAATACCAATGCATTCTCTACAATAACGTCTTTCATTATTTCTTCTCAGAGAAAGAAAATAATAAACATGGGCAATTAGCTAGAATACTTCCTTACATATTAGATTCTCAGAAATTTTTGGAAATAATGTCGTACTTATTGAAAAAGTTATAAACTATTTTCTTAACAAGCAAAATGTTGACATATAAATCAAATAGTTTCATCATTGTGTTTGGTCAATTTGTAATCTACTGATTTAGATGACAAATGACTAAATACAGCAACATTCATATCAGATATATCTTCATAATATTGGCGTGAATTATATTCTTGGATTAAATTTCTATGTATATGATAAGAAACTTGTTTCTTGAGGTCTACTCTGTAACATCAATACATCAAATTTGCACTCTCAAGTATTACTCTTTCTTCTATACCCACACGTCTGCAGTTTTTTTTCAAGTCTCTAGGCTCATTTGGCATGCAACATTGGCAACCATTGACATTTAGTTCTATCATTAGCTTTATATCTGGACTTCCTTGTATACATTTCTATTACTATTATTCAATCTTTTATATCTCGATAATTATATCCTTAGATTTTTAGTTTTAATCAGTCTCGTTTATTCTTCTTCATTATGCTTATTTGTATCTCAAAATAACTTCATGTACATCCATATAATCAATTCATATAGTTTGCATGTTCATGTTTTTCTGTATGTATCAAAAGTTCTTTAACGATAATTAAATACCAAACATATTGTCACCATCTGATTCATTTGGTTATTCATACATAGTTTGTAGCACTACGTTTCTTTCTAACAATCACGTCTTTGACCAAGAATGTAACCTGTAGCATTGATCAAAGAATACAATAAATTCTGTTTGACAGTATATAAGAGAAACATGTGTTGCTAAGAAAGCGATTGTCATATCTATCATCTAATGCATTTTAAGTTTATTAGCACTTAACGAAACATGGACACAATCAAAACTTCGGATTCAATCATCAGGTTGCAGAAAAAATTCTCGAAATTATTCGAATTTTATAAGAAAAAACTTTTTTCTCAAACGCATTATTCCTAAATGCATTTTTATATCAATTAAATAGATGTTTACATGCAACAAAGGAAATGTTTATAAAACGATAAAAACAAATTCTCCTTATCTTCCAATATTCTTTTCTTCTTTTCTATTGAAGATTTAAAATTGTAATAATACGTATCCCAACTATGAATGAACAAAGTATATGTCTCCAAATCATTTGATTATATAATAAATTCGATATGTCTTGATCATACCTTTTTAGTCAAGATATCGATAATTAAGTAATATCCAAAAAGTTATCACCACAATTCAAATACGCATTACTCTATTACCGGTTATTGAGTTTAGTTCTACACTTCTGTTTTTTTTTCTTTCCACAAAAAGAGTTTTGAATTGCTCGCTAGTTTTTTTTTATTCACATTCATTCAATACTTTTTGACAAGATCGTTAAGCTAGTATGTTCTATAAAAACGCTTTGTTCTGGTCATAGAAAAAACTTTGATAAAGGATGAATGAATGTACTGAGCGATTTCACAGTTCTTACTTTGATCAGATGTAGTATCGATGTACACGATTGTTAAGAAAATATCAAAATGAACGATAATCAACTGGTAGTAAGACGTGCTAATGATTTCAATTTGATCATGATAATATAAATTGAACTCTTCTTTTTTTAGGTAGCAAAAGAAGAAGACCTAAAAGGTTGTGTTTGATCAATAGTGACATTCTATACGTTTAAAGAGTGATTATAATTTTTGAAATATTCTATAGAGCATTGGCTTTTAGTCGTAAAAAGCAAGCAATCCGTCTATTATATTTTTAAAACTTAGCAAATTAAATAAAAATCCTCCTATGAATAAGAATCATCAAGAAATAAGAAACTCAAAAAAGATAGTTCAAATCTATTTCGTTCATTGGTTTAGACAACTAGAACTCTGTTGTTTTTTCATTAAAAAAAAGAAAACATGGAAAGATTTGATCTCTAGTCATTAATTTTGACATCGATTACATACCAACGCAAATTGATGCATATTTACGTTTGAATAATACTCTACATATCATATTAATTATATTGGTCTAAACGGATAACAGTTATCCTTTTCTATCATCTGTTGTTATATGCCATGTTTGTTTTAGCTTTGTATTACACGAGGAAAAGATTGTTTACCAAATATCTCGTTTTTACTAATTGACTTTATGAACGAATTTCAAGTTTTATTTGATGAAAATACGAACTAGTATGATTATTCTTAAAACTAAATAGTATATCTATACTACTTGCTGAAAGTATCCTACTCTCTCGGATCTATAGTTCTCATGAAAGCTAAACGTCTGAAAATTGTTCTGCTGATAGTTCTCATATAATATAGGTCAACGGTAACGTCAGCGATTATTGACAACCCTATAACTTGACAACAAGTAAACATTGTAAGTCGTAAAGTCTTTCCTTTTATAACCTTGCTTTATAACTATTGCTAATATAAACTTTATCGAAGGCCATCAAGTTATTGACGAACGAGACCACTTTTACTGAGAACATGAATATGCAAAACAAAAAGATCATAGTTTGTCAGAGAATGGTCAACAACTCGAAGCAATCGTCTTCATTTGGACAAATTTAACTCAGAAGATCTTTTGGGACGGTTTCAGATTTGCATAGAACAAGAGAAATTGCGTCGTTCTACGCATCTATACAGTACGCCGCGAAAGTTTATGTCAAACTGTGGCATATAGGAATACTATTAATATTATTTTATACAAAAATTATATTTCTCACAATTTAAAGGACACTTATCAGAGACTCATACGATTTAGATTAGCTTATGAAGTTTTTAATATAATTGTCAGCAGCTTCACATCTAATGACGCATAATTCGCCAAAGGCAACTATATTTCTTTGTTTCCTTAGAATTTCGAACCGTCTAAGACTATTTTTTTTTCCAATGAAACTTTCACAAGTGAAGACAATAGCTCCATGTGGCAAGAAAATAGAAAAATAGGTGTATGAATTTATGGTCTGGTTTTATTGATCGATCAAATCATCACTGAGTTATTGACTATTCCATGCCATACAATGGTCTTTGTTGCATATCCATATTTTCAGTAAAAGTGGTCTCATTCATTATTGGCTTCATAAATTTCGATGAAGTTTATATCAGGCATAGTTATAATGCAAGACTACGAAAGGAGGTAATTGACGACTTACAATGTTTACTTGTTCTTAAGTTTCGAGATTCACAGTGATTGTGAACGTCACCTGTAATAACTTTCTTCTATCTAAATAGACAGAAGTATGGAATTAGTGCGTTATACGTCGATGCTCTTTTCAATGCATTTTAGCCGTTGATATAGTTTTGACAATAAAAGCTTTAATATGAATGAAAATGCAAACGATTAAGGACACCTCCCCCCCTTTCCGGGCTTTCGTGAGAACGACTCATCAGAAAAATTTGGAATTTTCAGGACAGATAGATCTTGATGAGTACAGCAAAAGTTGTCATAGACTTAACATTTCCTGATGCTGTCTTCTATGAGATAATAGGGTCACAATGTCGAAAAATGGCCCTAGTTTTCGCCCCCGTTTCTTCAAGATGATATGTTCGATTGAGCTAAACATTTTTTTTACAGGTAGTAGACACTGTTTGTGGTGCATGTTGTTTTTAGTTTCTTTTTATCTTTTGTTGTTTCAATAAGAAAGTCAAAATACTGAGCCTACCCTAAAAAACGTTTGTTTTTATTCCTCTAGCAAATTTTGTGAAAGCTGCCAAAAATCACCAGAGCAATAATTCTTGAAAAGAAAAAAAAAATACTCACCCCAAATGGTGAGTAGAATATGTAAAAAAAGTTTCAGCTCGATGTCTCTTACCATGTCGGAGAAACGGGGGCGAAACAGTACTTTTCCTACTCAAAAATTTGATTTTGAGAGAAAAACAAAAAAATATAAAATTTTAGCTATTTTCACTATGTAAATTTAATTTCTCCTCGAATTTTTTAATCTTTAAAGGCAATTGTTGGTTTCCAAAATATAGTCAGTAGGTAGACACTACTTGAAACTATACAATGACCACAAAAAACCAAAAACGAAGAAAACAAAAATTTTGGGCGAGGAAAGGGGGACCCTTAAACACACAAAACAAATGACTGCAATACAACGCTTATGCATACCACTAGAAAATCTGCCAACACTTTAAACGAATTCTTCATGATTAAATACTCTTAGAGTGTCAATCATTTCTGTGTTTTGAATACAAATTTTGAAAATCAAGTTTTTTTTCGTACATCTAATATGAAAATTAGGATATAAAGTGTTATTCTCTCAAACACTCTACACCCTAGTTTTCATATTAGCTATATAAGAGGAAAAATTAATTTCGTAAGTTTTTTATTCAGGATATTTAGAAATGATAGACATTCTAATAGTATATAATCATGAAAAGTTCATTCGGTACTACAAAAATATTACAGTAATATGTAGAATCTCATATTCTATGATTCTGATCTCTTGAAATTATAATTTAAGGGACTGACAAATTTTCG